AACGGAAGACCACCATCAGTCAGCTGGGTCTACCGACATCTGTGGAGCACTGTCCGCAGCAGCAGACACACCTCCTCCAGTGCACAGAGAGCGGTCACCAAGACCACAGCATTCTGGGACAGGAAGCATGCTTCAGTAAACAGAAGTTACGCTCCAGACCACTCAGGATCGCACTAGAAACTCAGAAAGAAAGCTAGACAATCCCATAACATCCCATAATCTATAACACATAGATTTAAAAACACAGATCAAAGACAAAATTTTAAGAAAATTTTCAAGACAGTTTGAACTAAATAAAAATTAAAATACATGCATCAAAATTTAGGGCCTGCAATAACAGGACTACTTAGAAAACAGAAGTATAGAACTGAATACACGTAGAGAAAAGCAAGTCCCAGCGCTGCCCCTGCTAGGCTCCAGTTTCTCTGCCCAGAATGCTAAGAGGGCAGTGATGTGCCACCATGCTGGGCATGGCCTAACATCAAGAATTTATACTTCCTGTTGGGGATGTAGCTCAGGGTAGAGCACATGTTTACAATGTGTGAGGCCCTAGACTCAATCTCCAGCACCAGCCCCTCAAACAAACAACAGCAGCTTCATTTTAGGAAACTTCGGAAAAGGAGGAATATAAGTCTAAACAGAAGAAAACAATAAAAATTACAACAAAAATTGTGAAATTGAAAAATATAAAATTGAAATTGAAAATCGATTTGAGAACAATCAATTTCATTAAAAGATTCTTTAAAAAGGTCAATCAAATTGATAAAACTAGACAGGTTAACCAAGAAAAAGCAAGAAATACAAGTTATTAAAAACAGAAATGAGGGCCAGGGATTTAGTACAGTGGCACAAGCACCTGCCTGGCAAAAGTGAGATTGTTTGATCCCTGGTTCTAAAAAAATAAAATAGAAACAGAAATGCAAAGGGGGCCATCTCTACTGATACCATGGACATTGAAAGAATATAAAAGATTATTAACAATTCTGTCTGACTTCTAAAATTAAATTCCTCGAAAGACACAATCTGCCTGCACCCCCGGAGGCCCTGCCAGCCTGGAGAAGCAGCAAGGAAGCCATCTCCATCCCCCGCCACTCCTCGTCCACCATAAGCAGCCCGACCCCACACAGGCCGAGATGGCAACTGATGCAGGGAAGCAGCCCGACGTCTGTGCTGCTTGGCTGACTTTGCAGGTCAGGGCCAGCAGGCCGGTAACTACTCAGAGGATAACAATACGCAGTGCAGTGATGGTCGTGGATTTCCTGCTGTCCTGTTACTGTTGTATTTTACTGTTCTGTTTAACTGGAAACCGAGACTCTTGTCTGCATATACTCACGTCCACCAACCAGTGGTGCCATCCTGCCATCCTGCAGTTCTGTCAGCGGTGAGCGTCTCCTTGCCCCAAACCCCAACACTCGGTCCCAGGAGTCACCATCTTGAATGACAGTCCTGGGTTGGCAATGTCCCACTGTGATTTTAATTTTAATTTCCCTGAGAAAGACCAACGTTGAACCTTTATTTGTGTATCTTTCTGGTGAGGTTTCTGTTCCAAGTCTTTTCTCCACTTTCAGAATGGGGTTGGCTGTCCTGAGTTTGATAGATTTTGAGGTACAAATTCTTTTTTCAAAGATGCATACTGAAACTATTTTCTCCAAGTGTATTTTGAGTAGTAAAGTTTATTTTGGTAATGTTTGACATAGTCATTTTTCTTCTGTGGTTGCTCTTTTTGTGTGCTTTATAGGAAACTTTTAGCTAAGTCAAGACTGCAACGATTACCTACCATGGTTTCTTCTGGAAGTCCTACTGTTTTAACTTTTACATTTAGGTTCATGATTCATTTCAAGTTTTAATTTTCCCATGTTTGTGTTGCAGGAAAATGTGAATGGGAACGTGAGCTTGAGGTTTTTCTTATATTTGTTGAAAAGAATATATACTATATACGTGTGGCTTATTCTTGGACCCTCCTCTCTTCTGTTGTTCTATTTGTCTGTTCTTTTGCCAATATCAATTCCTTCGGAAAGTTAAACGTACACTTAAATTTGACCCAACAACTCTATTCCTAGGAATTGAATTGCAAGAATAAAACATATACCCATGTAAAAATTTATGATACATTCTTTTTTTTTTTTTTTTTTTGTCTTTTTCCTTTTTACCGGTACCAGGGATTGAACTCACAACTGTCTGCTTGCAAGGCAGGCATTTACGACACTGAGCTAAATCCCCAGCCCCTATGATACATTCTTGCTCAGAGATACTTTGTTAATGATTAACCAAAGCAAGTCCACTTTATATGCTTTAATTTTGTAACTTGAACAACTATTTCTAAGATGAGAATATGTAATCTATTAACTAGTGATTTCTTACTGTTTATTTTTTAAATTTTGTATTACTTGTACCCTTTTTGGGTTTTTTTTTCCTTTTTCTCCTTAAAGAAATTTTAAAAAAATAATTAATTAAAGCTCAGTGGCATAAGCACCTGCCTGGCAAGCACAAGGTCATGAGTTCCATCTCCAGTACCAAAAAAAGGAAAAAGGAAAAAGAAAAAAATAATCAAAATCCAAAACAACTCAAACAGCTGCCAAGGGGTGGGAGGACCAGCCACACACACAGATATTCATAAAATAGGATGGGACAGAGCGACGCCGAGGGACAGCCCACTGCACACGCCAAGGGTGGCTCGACAGTGCCACCTGAGGGAGCTCAGCCACACACAGGCCATGGTCAGGGAAGCCCGGGTGTGTGATCTGCCCAGCAGAAGCGGTTCTGAGCAGCATAGCCAGATCTGGAGAGAGCTGTGCAGCCTCAGCTGGACAGGACTGTTGCCTGCACTGAGTGCTGGAGGCCAGGGCACTGCCAAGCGGCCCACAGGGCACCGATGGACTGAGCCCACTTTCTGCAGCTCAGAACCCAGTCCCACGGACTGAAGTGAGCTGTGAGCAAAGGGTTTCTCAATACTCACCTTCCAGTGCAGCAGTGCGGCACGGCTGGTGATGGCCTTCATGCCTTCATGACGGTGGATCCAAAGGTGGCCAGAGTGCCCTGGAGGAGGGGACAAGGAGCACACATGCCCACATCTCTGTGTGCTGCTCTCTCCCCTCTTGGCTAAAAATGTGATTTTAATTAACTTTATTAGTACTCTTTGATACTCGTAATGATCACATTCATCAGAGGAACTCTGTACCTGTGCACCGGCAGTGTGGAGTCGTTCTCTCCCATTGCCCTCCCTTCAGCCCTTCTTCCCCTTTCTTCTTTAGGAAGCTTGGCTTCCACTGCCTCTTCCTTTCCCCTTCTACCTCCCCACTCCCTCCAATGTGCACTGCACCCCTACCCATTTCCAGGTCCCTACAACACACACACACACACACACACACACACACACACACACACACACACACAGCAACTTCCCAAGCAGCACTGAAATGTGTGGAGATGCTGTGGCCACCTCCGAGGGGCAGGGGCTGGGCCAGGCGACACTATACATGCTTTCTGAAAGTTTCCTTTGCATCCTGTGCTAGAACCATTAAGAACATGAATGATTCTTTTAAAATAATACACGGTGGGGCCAGGGGTTTAGCCCAGCGGCGTAGGTGCCTGCTTGGCACACACAAGGTTGTGAGTTTGATCCCTGGCACACACACGAAAAAAAAACCACGGTGAGAAATTTGCAAATAAAAACAAACGGCAAGCACTCTGAGGTAGGGAGATCACTGTGAGTTCAAGGCCAGCCTGAACTGCATGGCGAGACCATCTCAGAAAGACCAAAAACAAAAGGTAACAACCCGTTAAAAATCATGGAAGGAAGGAAATGGAATTGAAGCACATTCCTTGGCTTTGCAGAAAAGAACATTTGATATTTGCAAAGTGAGTGCTACCAGGTGCGATGACTCAATACAAATGTGACTGTGCTGGGGGACGAGGGAGGGAGAGTGGTACAAAGGGGCTAAGTTTCATCCATTACTCAGCAGTGAAATAGAATGTCCACTACAGAACCGTGAAAAAGCAGAGCAATCAAACTACTTGGGCGCGGGGGGGGGGGGTCCTGCTTGGGGCAGGGCTCCTTCTTATCAGTAAGCCTCTGCATTATTTCATGTTTTACCCTCTGCCATGGCAACGAAGCAGCCAACAGAAGGCATGCTGAGTGCCAGTCTATCCCCCACCACACGCCAAGGCCCCTGAGCGGAAGGAGGCGGGGCGGGGCAGGGCAGCCCTCTCTGCAGGACCAGGACTCTTCACCTCAGAGCTCGGAAAACATGCACTGCCAACCTGGTGCTGCCAGCTCCTGCTGAAGACCAGGAAACACTGTCCCAGTCCCAGACTGAAGGACTCTGTCAGAACAAGACTGGGCCCAGGTGTGATCCTCAGTCAGGATGGTGAGACAGAGACACAGCTGGTGCTGCCTGGCAGCCACAGCACAGCCCAACCCTCTCCCCACGTGGCACCCGCCTGGCTTCCGCAGCTCCTCGGGCTGTCTCAGAAGCTCCACCTGTCGGGAAGGGGGTGCCTACAACTGCCTGAGGCGCTGCTAAACCTGTTTTCAACAGCCACTCTCCAGACCAAGCCTAGGGACCAGGGCTGACTTTCTAATGGAGTAATATCGCTCATGGATTTTTTAAACAGAGACCTCTTCTAATGATCTTTTTAGAACAAAACACCTTACATCCTGACCTCTGACCAAAACCTGTTGAACACAGAAATGTTGTCTTAGGTTTTTATTGATTTAACACAAATATAACAGTTGTCAGATCATTTCTGATTCCAAAACCTGAACCAAGAACTGTAACTTAACTAAAAACCTCACAAGTGCCAAACAGATTCATCTTACCAAAATTAGATATTGGTCCTCATGGGAAACAACAACAAAAGAATCAGAAAACACCACCTGGCTTCCACACAGCATGCACCCCTGTGGTAAACCTGCAGCCCGCCTGTCCTGCGTGCAACCCGAGGAGGAGCAGGCGGGTCCACACATCCGCTCTCAGAATGGAAGGCAGGGGCTGCTGTTGCCAGGGCTGCTTTCAGAGCAATTCCTCCAGCACACTGCAGGCAGTGGTTTTCTTTCCACCCTCCACTCACAGAGCTCCACGCCCTGCCCCAGGAGAAGGGTGTGCGGCACGGTGCCAGTGTTGAGACTGAGGCTCTGGCGGCCTCCACATCTCCCCCAGGGAGACTCCACTTGAGCGGCCATGTCAGGGGCTGAGCACAACCAGCTTGTGGAGCTGGTAGAGAAAGGTATTCTTCCCTTGGCGTCCCTTCCAGTCAGCCTGCTCCATGACCAGCTTGGGGTGAACCTGGTAGGACAGGCAAAAGACAGGTCAGACTCTGCAGTGGGCTGCATAGGCTCTGAACAAACATAATTATGTGTGCACATGCATGGTACGTAAGACAACAAAAAGTATTCTTCTCATTTTCCATTTTTTTTCTGACACAGGGCTTCACTACCAGTTCAGGCTGACCTTGAACTCACTATAGCCCAGGCCGACCTCCAACTCAAGGCGATCCTCCTGCCACAGCCTTCTGAGTGCTGGGATTACAGATGTGCACCACCATGCCTGGCTCTTCCTCTTTTTTAAAACCACTTATAGATATTGTCTACTCTGATATTCCAGACTATGCAGCTTATTTTCAAATTTGTGTGTAATAATAGGGTGCGCTTGGCTGAAAACCTCCCTGTATTCCTAGGGTGCAGGTATTTATTCAAAACAGGTAAGCCTGCTACACGGCACCCAGCGCCAAATGGAACTGCTTCACACTACCTGCTGCTGTCGCCTCAGCTTCACCCTGAAGGTGTGGAAGCCGTGTGAAGAAGAGCTCTGTGCTCCAGGGATAGACTGTGTGGCCTGGAGTGGGAAGACGGGACCCCGCCAGGAGAGGGACCTTAAATTCAGGGGGACATGAGCTCCAGTGCACACACGGTCTCACCTAACTGCCAAACGCACCAGGAACCACCACCCCAGCTGGGTTCCTGACACTGACACCTGCGGCTCCAGAATCCAAGCTTAAAATTCTTCCTTGTGCTCCTTTGCTGAAACCATGCTCATCTGGGCTTCTAGCCTCACAGACTGGAAATGTCACAGCACCCAGGTGGCATTGCCCTGCTTCCCAACTGTGTCCTCCACACGGCAATGGGGAAGAGCTGACCTTTGGAGGAAGTGGATTAGAGAGGGGCCCGCAGCGGGTCCCTGGGTGGTGAGGGTGGAGGGGGCCCAACGGGATAAGCGCCCTTCTAAGAATGGACACCAGAGAGCCCACTGGCTGCCTTGGTGCATCCGGCCATGAGAGGACACGGCGAGGAGCAGCCCTGCTAGTACCCTGACCCCAGGCATCCTGCCTCCAGAACTTGGGCAACACATGTCCACTGCTCCACAGCCAGCCCTCCATGGAGCTGCCCTTTAGCGGCCGAGCTGGTGGACAGCAACAGAGCCTGCAGCTCACGAAAACCTGATCATGGCAGGCTCTGCCCACCCTAGCCCAGGCTCTGCGCTGGCACCCTCAGCCTAGGGGCCACCCTACCCACACAGCAGCTGCTCCTCACCTGGTTCCACTCGTAGGGTTTTTCATGCCACTTAGGGATCACTTTCTCTCTAGGTTTCATCTGACAGAACAAACTACAATTCAAAAAAGGGAAATCAAGTTGTCTTAATTATACATTAGGGGTTGGGGGTTTAGCTCAGTGGCACAAGTACCTGCCTGACACAGGTTTGAGGTTGTGAGTTTGATCATCAGCACCAAAAAAAAAAAAAAAAAAAAAAAAAAAAAAACACGTTGGTCTATGTACATTGGACTTTTTGGCCAGGGATTTAGCTCAGCAGCATAAGTGCCTGCCTGGCAAGTGTGAGGTTATGAGTTCGATCCCTGGTACCACACACACACACAAAAATTATACATTAGTATAATGTACACTACTATGATCTAAAAAATTTTAATTCTACATATTTTCCTCAGAATTAGAACTGCATTTTTTAAAAAAAAAGTCAAAATTTTATGATATTTTTACTTAAAGCACATTTTAAAAACAGAAGGAAATGGAGCACCATGGACTCTGGAAAGTTGTTACATTATTCACGGTGCCTAGCATTCAGTAAAACTTTGGGAGCATGCAAAGGCACAGGACCGGGCAGTCATGCTCAGGACAGGAGCTGTGAGCGGACGCCACCTGGGCCAGGGCAGAGCCCGCAGACCCTGTCACAGGTCAGCCAGTCCCATTAGAGAATTACAGAGAGGCAAGGCAGCAGTGGGCCTCACTTCAGGGGACCCACCTGCCACACCTCTTGAACAATGGCACATCTCACTGCAGCTTACCTCAGAAGCTTCTGCCGAGCACTGTCCTGTAACTGCACGATTCTTTCTGGCCCCAGATACTTTGATCCGTTTGGCCCATCACACACTAGCTTATTGATAGCAGTCCTGAGAATATTAATCTGTAAATGAACGGTAATGTAAATACTCAGATAGCCCCATCCCACAGGAAATAAAGTCCTAGCTTTCAGAGTCACAGTCTGTGACTATCATTGGTCAAAACAAGGGAAATAGTAATCACTATGACGATTTAGGCAATAACAGCAAAAACAAAAGGAATCAGCAAGAAAAGTCGACCATTCAATGCGCTGTTCATCTGTTTTTAGCTATTTGAGACAAGGTCTCACCATGTGGTCCAGGCTGGACTGGAACCCACAGCAGACCTTCTGTGTACTGGATTACAGGTGCGCACTGCCACACCCGGCCAGCCTGCCTTATGCAGACAGACTTACCCTTGTAGGTAACACTGCTGGATGAGGGCGTGTGTCCTCCCTGGCTCTGTGGCAATGATTCCAAGGGAGCCTGACACGACACCCATGACCACAGTGCCACGGTTCTGCTTTATCATCAACCTCCTGTCAGTTGCTGTATGTTTACCTCAGAGTTACAAAGACAAAAAAGGAAGGTTCCTGTAGCTCCAGTCAGTCACACCTTGGAAACTGACCCCAGGACACTGCTGTTAACTAGCCCCCGCTGACTGGGCCGGACCCATTTTCCATCTGTATCCCACTTCCGTCCCGGGACACACATCCAGACACCACGTGGACCGTGCCTGTCCTGGAGACCAGGAAAGGCACCTGAGAAGCCTGTCCTGGTCTCCAGGGCTTTGGCGGTTCTGGCTCCTGCACAGTGTTCTGTAGACTGTTTCCCAGTCCTGGTTTCCCTGGTGTTTTTCCTGTGCCAGAGGTGCCCTCTCGTCACATTCTGTAGGTGTGCCTGCTGCCACCATCACATCACTGAGGATGAGGCCACATGACCATGTGGCATGCAGTGGAAGCCGAGGCTACCAGCCTCCTCTGCTGTGAGTGCCCCCACAGACCATGGTCACCAAGCCTCACCAAGCCCTTGGGATTGAGGTGCCTCCCCGTCCCCCTCCTGGAATCCGTAGAGGAGAGCTGTCTCTGCCCCGCTCAGTCACGCCGTCACGCCTTCCTATCCATGTGGACCCCCCGGGCTACACTCCTGTGCAGAGAACCCTGCATCAAATCTTTTTGTGTCACGTCGTCACCCCCAGCTGGCGTGCTCCTCACTGTGCTCCCTCGTGACTCGCCACGCTGACAGCCCTCTGCTTTGTGCACTGCCATCCACGTCATTTAGCCTCTGTCTCAGTAGTGATGAAGCACTCCTCGTGTACTGTGGGCAGGCAGCCTGATCAGACACCGGACTCCATCTGTCCTAGCCTGCTCCGGGTCTTCTCTTTTCACATCTTAGCAGACCTCTGCAGAGCACCTTGTCAGTTGTCCTTGACAGACTGTTTTCAGGGTTGTCTCTACAAACCGATGTCAAGTTCAAATAGATGTCTCCTGTACTTACTTCTGGAACTATTAGTTTCACGTTTTACAATGAAGTCTGTGCTCTAAGAGGATTTTTAGGTTTTCTGTTCCTTTGTTTAGTGGTGTTGGGAACTGAACCCAGGCCTTTGCGCTGAGCAACATCTGTGCCTCTTATATTTTCTGAGACAAGTCCTTGCTCAGTTGTCCAGGCTGGGCTCTAACTTGCAATCCTCCTGCCTCTAGCTCCTGGTGTGTGTAGGTTACAGGTGTGCCCCACCCTTCCTGGCCCCTGAGAAATATCTGTAAGCCCTTAGATGCTTTCATATGAAAGCAGAGTCAACATCTCAGTGTTAAAGTAAGAAATAAGAATCCAGAGAACACAAACGGCCTGCCTTGGGCGGGGACTGCGCTCCCCTTAACTCCTTTCCTCACCCCTGCTCCTGTGCCAACCTCGCCATGGATTCCTGAGAAGGAAAGGAGGCTGAATTCTCCAAAGTAGCATTTCTCTAATTATTTAGGGAAAATGATCATTTGTTTCTTCCTACTTTACAAAATGCAAAAAAGTAAATTATAAGAAAAGGGAAACATAAAAACAAAAACACACAAAATACAAGCACATATTTTTCATTATGAGATTCAAGCCAGGTATGTTAGTACCTGCAATTCCAGCTACATAGGAGGCTGAGACAGGAAGACTGAAAGCTCAAGACCAGCCTGAGCAACTTAGACCTTCTCTCCAGAAAACAGGCGAAAGAAAACTCTAGACTGAAAAGACACAACTGGTTTGTCCACTTGACTCACAAGTATCTGAAAGCTTAGCCTGGGACTGGTGGCACTGTCACATCCCACTGGCATGGTGGTGGACTGTCTTAATTACTTCTCTCTTGCTGCTGAGACAAAATATCCAGCATCCAAAAGTAAAAGGGGAAAGGTTTAGATGCTCACAGTTTGTAGAGATTTCAGTCCACCATCACCTGGTTCTAGGGCTGGGTGGCTTGGCAGAGGGTCATTGCAGAGGAAAACCAGTTTGTGGCAAGCAGCAGGCAGCAAAAGCAAGCAAGCAAGGGGCAAGACAGACTTCCTTCTGTCCATATCCGGGCTACTGGGACTAGGGCAGTGCCAAACCAGCCAGCAGACTGATTCAGTGACCACCCAGCCTTGACCCTAGCATCACATCATGAACCAGTCACACACTCTAGATCCACCACCTCTGCTAAGCCCCACCTATGACCACATGAGGCTTTGGGGGCAGGGAGGGGGGACATCTTGACCCAGCGGTTGTTATACACTAACAAAATGAGCTTCGTTATGTTTGTGTTATGTTTGCCATTGCCCAAGTTATATGACCAAATTACCTGTTAATTCCCTTGGCAAACGCAACTATTTTCTATAACCTGTAGTGCAGTCATACTGTTCTGTATGCGCCATCTTCCTGGGTGACCTGATTGATATGTTAACCATTGCTCCCCTCTGCAAAGGGAAACAAAGGTCTTCCTCATTCCTCAGCTGGCCAAGGATTTCCTCATTTCCTGATCCATGCACATAAGCCATTCACTTTGTAATTGCTTCTTCTACAAAAGTCTGTAAAAGTTTTAAGCCAGACACACAGCTTCTTGAACTCCAACTGCACTGTGTCCCTGGAAACAGGTTAAATAAAAGCAGTCCTTTTTCTTAAAAAATGTATCTTGCCCCATTTTTGGACACCATTTTGGGAGGCTCATTTTTGGAGTACAACAGCCATATGACAGACCTACCATGAGCAGCTGCTCTGGGGCCCCATGCACAGCCAGCTCCAGGCTCAACAAAGCCCGCTGTGGGAGAACCTGGGTCAGAACCTGGTTTCCTCACTTCTGTGAACCAGCGGGGAGGGCACCAGAGAGCAACCAGCGACTCCTGCTGCCCCAGTGTTCCCTTTGACTGCTCAGAAAAGCTTCCTGTGCCAGCAGGCAGTACACGGGAGAGGCAGAACACCAGCATCACGCAGCAGCCTCTCCCAGAGCACAGGAGCCCCTCCTGCAGCCACCTCAGCTCTGCAGACAACACCCCAGAGGGGCGCAGACACAGAGTGAGGGCAGGAAGTCACTGTGCCAGTGTTATGAGGGGCTCCTCACCTCAGTGACATCCTCCACGCCAAACCGCACGTCGAACGCCAGCTCCATGTCGTGCTCCGGGAGGACAGGAGCCGCTGTCCCTGGGTTCCAGCCCAGACCACAGAGGACGCCTGTGTAGCATCTTCCTTCCTGATCGAGCCTGGATTCAACATTTTCAGAGGAGTTAGCCACTAAACAATGGACAAACCACCATTCTAACATTAAAGAACCAATCAATAAGCCATCCTACTTCCATTTCCATTTCTTCTGGATTTTACACTAAAAATGTAGATCAAATATATATTATAAACAGCAGAAAGTTAAGTATTTACATTAACATTAAATTTCTAATTCTTACTGCTGCAGGGAAAATGAGGAAAGATTATTTTATCACAGGTAGTGTCTGTGTTTCTTCCGAGGGTTGAGTTCTTATGAGAGAGGTCTCTTGAGGAAGTCATCCAATGTCTGCGCCTGTGACCAAGCCCAGCACGCAGAAAAAGCCTGAAGGCTGCCTGCCCACCCTCCCCTCCACACTCCACACTTCTACTTGCAAAGTCCCAGGCTCCCCGCCCCACCACAGTGTCACCTGCCACTGCCCTCTCTCAGGTCTCACCATCTGTCAATCCGCTTCACCTCTGCTGCTACCAGTCTGTCAAACCACAGCCACTTCTCACCAGCCACATCTCTAACACCAATTCATCTCCCCGCCTCCACTGCTTCTGCCAATCTTTTTCTACATAACTAACAGTGGAGTTTTTCAAACAAATCCAGCAGTATAGCATCCCTGTGTAAAGGCCTGCAACAGCTTCCAGCTGCATTCTGAACACCATCCAGGCTGAGAGCCACGGTAAAGGCTTCCTCCCTGCTGTCCTCTCTGCAGCCAGAAGCACAGGCTGCCACCTCTCCTGCAGGGGCCCCTCCAAATGCCACCTCCCGTCTGCCCTCACAGCCCCAGTACCCCATGCTGCTCAGTCCTCGCTCTCCAGGAATGAGGGGTTTTCCTTTGTTTTGGGGGTTATGTTTTTGAGGCAGGTCTCACTGTGTTGGTTAGGCTGATCCTGACCTCTTGAATCCAAATGATCCTTCTGCTTCGGCCTTTCCAGTACAGTGACAACGGGTATGTGCCACCACACCCAGCTGACAGGCACCAGTTCAGAGGTCAAGGTCCCAACCCACAACAGGTCTGACAAGTCCTTACATGAATAGATATTAGCCCGGAAAGTCTTTGAAAATGTTCTGCTGATTTGCTTTGCTATTTCATTGGGAACAGTCAGTCTTTTCTTCCGCCTTATTGTGGTATGACTGATAAGAACACCCATGCCATGCACTGCTTACCACAGCTGAGCCTGTGACACACCCACCACCACACAGTCACCATTTGGTGTGCGTGTAGAACCCACAGGACCCATCCTCTTGGAACTCAGTTGAGCAGCAGGCAGACGCTGGGTGTGCCTCAGCTTCTACAACTCATCCTCTCACAACTGCAAGTTTATAGGCCGGTGACGTTTGTTTTTGAGATAGAGCCTCCCTGTGTTGCCCAAGTTGGCCTGAACTATGCTCGAGGGATCCTCTTGCCTCACCTCTCAAGTAGCTGGGATGATACGCACAGGCCACAACCCTCAGATTAATTAAGTTATGTTTTAAAAAACCTAGCCAGTATGGTGGTGCACATCTGTATTCCCAGCACTCTAGAGGCTGAAGCAGGAGAATCACCCTGAGTTCAAGGCCAGCTTCAGTTACATAGAGAAACCCTATCTCAAAAATATATATAGGCAAAACGATTTTCTTCTTCACCACACGTGTGTGTACATACATATGTACATACATAGGTCTACATATATTCCCCGTTTCTCTCCCTTTTTTCACTTTAATAAAATTGAAAAGGTAATCTTACTTTAAACTCAAAAGATAAGATCTAAAGTTCAGATTTATAAATCAGGTATTGAGTATTCACATTACAAAACATACAAGAATCTCTAAGTAACAGTTCCTCTACACTATTAAAATAAGTTATTGTCCTTTCTGTTCTTGTTAAACTCTCCAGAGCACAGTGATGAGCAATGAGAGGCCGCTCTGTCAACCCCGCAGCACCACCAGCACCTTCGCCTCGCTAGCGGCTGCCCTCACCCTCGAGGTGCACTGCAGTTCCACGGGCTCCCTAGGGAGAGTGGTGTGACAGGACCCGCACAAAGGTGGTGGTGCTCTCCACCTGCCTGAAGTCTGGAGTGAGTGAAAGTCACCCACACAGTGCCATGGTTTGGGTCCTAAGTGTCCCCAGAGCCACTCCCGCTCCAAACATCTCGGCTCCCAGCTGATGGTGCCACTGGCAGGTGTACTGGAGGTGCTTCGTGGAAAGAAGGCAGGCCCCTGGGCGCGCGCCCTGAAAGCAGATCGGGGCACCTCACCCCAGCCCACCCTCGCTCCTGGCACCATGCAGTGAGCGGCCTTGCTTGGCCAGGCCCTCCCGCCTGACATTCTGCCTCACCACAGGCTGGAAGTGAAGAAGCCAAGGGAACGTGAACCGAAGCCTGAGACTGTAAGCCAGAACAACCCTTCCTCCTCCTAACCTGATTCATCTCACATATGCTGTACCAGCTGACTAATACACAGTGAGCCTAATTCTCTTCTAGGAATCCTAAATACTTACATGAATTTAAGAAACGGTCACAAAATCAGAGAAACACACTTAGTTCATCTCTGATGCATACTTCTGACTGAAGCTGAAACTGCAAAATCATGATAACAACAACAAAGGCACATGCCAAGCAAAGCTCAGCAAGACATAATCCAGGTGAAATGACTCCTCTCAAAGGGGCCGCATGCACAAGCAGACTGCTGTGTTCGGGGGACCTCCTAAGACTGCATGGTTGGCTTCTATTTGTTTTTCAGACAAGATCTTGCTACATAGCCCAGGATGGCCTCAAACTTGGAGCAAACCTCCTGCCTTAGTGCCCAAGTGTTGAGATCACAGGTGTGTCCCCACATCCAGCTACCCAACATTTTGTGGTTGTGCTCCAGCCACAGTAACCGGAACATCTGTCTAAACAGTGGAAATCCCGGTAACCCACTCATTAAATTTTATTAGCTGTCAGGAAAGAATATTCTATCCTTGCTGTTTTGGTGCCTTCCTAGAAGCAGTGCCACTTCAGGCTGAGCACTGCCAGCAGGTCACATGGCCCTGCTGTGGGGACAGCCTGGTGCCAACAGTGCCCATGCCAGCCCCACAGCCAAGGGAGGGGTGGATGGTGCTCTCATCAGGTGCTGATGAGAACATTCCCTGGGCTGGAAGTGCCCAGCTGACCTCAGGCAGGAGCCTCTGGCAGGCACAGTGCCAGCATCACGCGGGCTCCAGCTGCTCAGGGAAACACCATAGGGAAGCAGGGCAGCAAGCACAGTTAAGTGACTGGAACAGAGGCAGCTAAAGCCCAGCACCCACACTCACAGGCAGAGCCATCCAGGTCTGGTCCCAGCTCTCAAGGGCACTCACCCAGGGGACGTGAGGCTGGAAGCCCTGAGGAAGTGAGGGAAACACAGTCACCAAGCCAGTAGCAAGAGAGCAGAGTCACCCTGTGGGACTGCTGGCTCACCAGTGGGGACAGTGCACACCTCACCTCCCTTCCTCCACAGAAACAGAGGCAAGAACTTAATTTTTCATTTATTGGTGAAATTATGATGCAAAGGATGTGTTGGAGGTGGCAAAAAGTCCTGAAGTCGGAATCAACTGTGACAGGACAGAGGCAGCCTGGTGGAGCAGCAGAGCTGGCCAGAGCTGCAGGCTTTGTTTCCAGAGGCCCCTGCGAGCCTCTGCTGTGGTGGCCAAATGCCGCTGGGGCAGGAGATGAGTTCCCCTGCAGAAGGGTCACCAATGGAAAAATAGGAGGGTGCGCGTGGCATGGCACAGTCTTTAGGAGCTCTGGGTGCATGAGGAATCCCCTCTGGGGAACGCCCCTGAGGCACAGGGAGGGACAGGTTCCACACACCAGGGAAGGCTAACCCCCTGCTTGCCCAGGTGGAGCAGCAGCTATGGTGCAAGGAAAGGAAAATGCCCATCTCAAACCACATCTCTCCCCCATCTTCCAAAAGTCTCTCTAAAATGACTGCTAGAGACTCAACAAATGGGCAGAATTCAGACAAAAATTTACCAGGCCCCTCTTCCATTCCTGATGGCCACCTAAGGGTTCAAAGACGGCTACAAAAGATCTATGATACACGACAGTTCCATTTGGCACTTCTCAGCTTTCACCATGGTGTAAACCAGCATGTATCCAGCAGAGCTATTCCCTGGATTTGGACCTTTCCCACAAGCTGCGGCATGACACTCTGTGCATGCAGCCACAAAGCCCCAGCTCCCATCACCCCTGTGATCGTGAGGAGAAACGACCAGCCCGTGTGGCTGCCTCCTCACACTGTGCTCTGCACCAAAGCCTCTGGAGGAAACCCCTGCAACACCCTGGCACAGGAAGTGCTCCCATCAGTCCCGCAGGCACTCCACCGCTGGCCTCGGTGCCTGTGATAAGAGGGGCCACCAGATAGCTTGGGCCCATTCACAGCCCACTCATAGCCTTCACAGCCTGTCATCGTATTTGTATACCTAGTCAAGCTCTCCAGTTTCTTTCTGAAAGAAGTCTAAGCACAAGCACAGATGTTCCTTCACGCCAGGGGCTCACATCCTCATGCCCTTCTGAAGCTGCAAGTCTTCTAATCTAAAGTTTACGGCACATGGCTGGCCACCGGACACCACAGCTGGGCCACACAGCACAGGGCTGCCTCAGTGTTTCTGCTGAGGGTGGGGCTGCTTGCACAGCACTCTGAGAGGATCAGAACACATATGGCAAGCCCAGAGAAATAGCAAGCTTCAAAATAAGAAGCATGATTTCCCTTGCACAAGTGTCACTTGTTAAGACATTCAGGCATTCAATCATCATGAACCAGGGGCCAAGGGACACAAATAACAAGAAAGCGAATCACAGTGAAGCACAGAAAGTCCCAACCAGGCTAAGCCAAATCCTTACCTAAGGAGGAAGGTGAGGGTCCCTTTCCCCACCCAGTTCCCACCGATCCAAGCCTGCATATGGGCAAGGCGGAAGCCCGAGCCTACCTTAACTCCATCACTGGTGCGAACAGCATGCTGAGGAGCGCGGGCAGGCCCGGGATGGGAGGCATCAGGGAGGTCTCCCTCAGCAGCATGGCTGACCCTGTGCACAGTGCACGAGTCAGCTCAGGCTGCCCCACACGCTGCTCAGACATCACTCCTTCCTAGCTGGTCCCTTCTCCAGATGAGCCTGTCCCTGCCATTCCCCCTGCTCCAGGAAAGCACTCTCTATTCTTGGATCCCACAAACCCTACACACAGACACACAAGGACACCTAGGCATTAATCTCATTGAGAACTCATTCGGTTATTCTTTGCCTTCTCCTCGTTGGACTGAGTTTTTCCAAGATCAAGAACTAAGACTTGTTTTCCTTTGCAGCCAAGTGTGGAGGAATGGGTGAATGATCAAGAGGTTAATTAATTCCCACATCTTTGTATAAAAGGAAAATGAACAATGAACCACGTGTGTGGATGTTTCTAGGGCCTTCACACTGAGCTATATATCCAACATTATTAATTTTTTTTTTGAGACAGACTCTTGCTAAATTGCCCACGCTGGGTTCTAACTAATAAGCCTCCCAAAATGCTAGCATTACAGGTGTTGCTCCCCAAGCCCACCTTCTATTGCTTTAACTTGCATCAGCTGATGCACTTAGAAAGTAGCCTAAAAGTATGGCATATGCACACAAAGAAGAGGAAGACATAGGTAAACTGAGGCTCCTGGCTTACCAGTTGCATTCACCGACAGTGAGGCTGCAACCAGCATCCTCTGGTGCACGTCTGCAGGGGTGTCACTGATGATGACCGAGTTGATGCTTTCCTTGTCAATCCAGACACACCTAGAAGAGTGGCCCCACGCAGGCCACAGAGACCCCAGAAAGTCACGCATGCAGATGCTGTGAGCCCCATGCTGGAGCATACTCACCTGAACCCCGCCCTCTGGCCACTGTCCCCATGGGGTTCCTGAGCTCCACAGAATGTTAGGTATCCCACATATAGACACCCAAACCTGCTCCTCTGCCCAACTCTGCCCTGCACTGCATCAGCAGAGGGGATGAGGTTTCTCAGCAGAGGCCAGGCACAGCTCCACAGGCAGCCTTCACTCCTCCAGTCCCTCATCGAGCTGCAGCCTGTGGCTTCCACCCTCAAAGGCCCCTGCTGCATCGTGAGCCACCTCAGAGCTGCCCGCCCTTCCACTCTGAAGCCAGTGTGTTCTCCAGCCACACAGGCAGCCCTGCAGAGAGCTCGCCAGCGCATGCTGGCTCAGAGGTCTGGGGAATCCGAGCTCTGCATTTCCAGCAACTCCTCCAGGCTGCAGCTGCCTCTCAAGGACTCAAAGGAGCCAGGGTTTAGCCGGTGATCATTTTTAAATGCACTCAACAAGGCTTCCCACTGTGCTCACATGAGTCTTAAAAAACATGGCTTGGAAAGTTTGCCTTCATCTGCTACAAGGTTTACAGCCTTCTTCTGCCCCAACCCAACTCTCTTCTCAAATCAAACTTATTCAACAACCTCACCAGTCCAAACTTTCAAATCCAGGCCTCTGCACTTACCCAGAAACCAGGGTTCTCCCTTTCCTAATACCTCCCTGCCGCTCCTCTGAAAAACCTCCATGGTCTTCCCAGTGTGGCAGGGCCGTGTCCCAGGCACTTCCACGATGTCCTGTGATCGCCACTGCGATCCTGGCACCACCCTCAGCTACTATCAGCCCTTTTCTTTTCTGCCCATAATCCTAGTGACGAAGACAGCCATGCTTGTTCACTACTGATTCCCCATATCACTCAGACCTGCTGAGTGACAGCTGTAATCAGAAGAGAGGATAAGGAGGCTTTGGAGAAAGACACCAAAGAAACACTAACAGAAAATGGCTTTCAGGGAAGACAGAAAAATCCTCAGATTTGGGGCTAAAAAGAAAATTAGGATGAGATTTTTAAAAAACATTCCAATAGTTTATATATGACGACAGATTAGTTTCTGATGAAGTATGTAAGTAGAGGAGCAGAGAAAAAAAATTCATGGGAAGTTACTCATACCTGAATTTGGATATTCTGGTCAAACTATGACACTTCAGTTCATAAGGGTTAAAAGGCCCATGGAGTATGGTCTGCACACACAAAACACAGTGTGACCAACAAGCAAGGTATCGGCAGCATGAATCCCACAGTCAGCTCCTGCCTTCAAACACTGCATTTCAATCATAGCATCTTCAAAATGTAGTGAGAATAAAGTGCCTGAAAGAAGGCATTGTTACACACTGTAACTGATTCCCCCATATGTACACAGAAAACACTACCCAATGTCTTTGTCAAAGTACCAATTGTTTAACTGCAGCAGACCCAGCCACACAGCCAAGGGCTGAGGTCACAAAAGTGTGTCCCTGAACAGGAAGGGACCGGCCAGCCCGTTCTCCTCTCCAGTGTGTGCTGCTGAGGAACTGGAAACAAGCAGCAGGAAACAAGACTTGGCTTGGCAACTCAGCTGCTGTGCTTCCTTCCAGGGGTAAACCAGTATTCTCCGTCACTTCAGAAGGGAAGATTTAGACAAAACAAGGACCGGTCAGGACAGAGCTTTCCTCTAAGCCCCACTGGGCACCAGACTCCAGATCCACCTGGGGTGGATCACAACACTGAAAACCAGGATGGTAAAACCATCACAACTACGAACCCAGCTCCCAGCCTGTAACATACAATGGCACTAAGCATTTCATTTATATTTTAAACAGCTCCAACAGCACACATCACCTTGCAGTTCGGGGCACCCAGCCTATTGGAGGAGAAACTCTCCAGCAAGATCTGAATCAGACGCTTCTCATCCTCCTTCACGGGAGAAGGCACAGATCCAGCCACCACGTTTTCTACTGATTTGGAAAAGAGGCCCTTGAGAACTTCATGGCTTTGCTGAATGAAACCAGAAATTTCTTTTGTTAAAAGAAAAAAATTACATTAAATTAAATGACATTATCCCAACATAGTCAAAATAGTTCCTAGGCATAATCTTATTCTGACCTTTATATCAAGTTATAGGGAGACAATTTTATAAAGTTCATTTTAAAAATAAAGCAAAAGAAATAAAAAAGTATTAATTTCAGCCCTCAGAGAATTTTAGGAAGAAGCTTTGCTTGAAGAATTTTCTTATATACATTTGGTTAACCGAGGAATACTACCATAATCCCTGCTTTTCACATATTAAGTGGAGAATTTAACCAGCTTTTCAGCTAGTATTTTACTAGACTGTCCTTTTCCAATTCCAGCATTCTTCATCTCCAGCACAAATTACAGGAGTACAAAGACAGACCTTTAGTATCAGGCCCAGAAGTAGCCTCTCTGACACATTCTGACCAAGAGCAATGTTTATTGCTGATTTTAAAAGAAACAGTTTAACACTTTTGAAATGCTTGAAATAAATGTATTTGGTTTTCATTTTTGCTGTGGTTTCCTTTCAATCCTGGGGGTTGAATCCAGGGTCTTGCACTGAAGTATATCTCCAGCCCTTTTATTTTACTTTAAGACATGGTCTCAAATTCATGATCCTTCTGCCTAGCCTCCCAAGTAGTTTGGATTACAAGTGCATGCCACCATGTCTGGCTTAAAATAAATATTCATCATTTCAATCAGAGATAATGTTTAGATCCATTAAATATGAAACACATTTTCAAATCTGATTTCCATTTCAAGGAGAAAACAAACAAATTGAATAGGAAATCAACAAAAACAATACCTCCCCACAATACCACAATTTAGTCTCGGGGAACCTTGAAGACAGATCTGGGCACGGCACATCACATAACACAGGGCGACTCCACCCATGCAGCTGGCCTCTGAAGAAGCAAGGCACCTCGGCCCCACACACACAGCCACCCACAGGTGCTCCTCAGGACACAGGCGCTTACTTTGGACTCGTAGGACTCCTCTGCCAGCTCGGCGTGGCCCTCGCTGATGAGAATGTCTCTGATGTTGATGGTGCCCAGTGTTCCCAAGCAGCAGTACACGTCCACGTGCAGGACGCTATGCACGACCGAGAAGACCTTCACCAAGAGAGCGCATCTGCGCACCAGCGAGACAAACCGCTTGCCGGCCTTGCGGCTCCAGTGCTTACCACACACCAGAGACCTGGCCGAGGGCCGCATTTTGCAAATCTTGAACTCCAGTGCCTACAGGACAGAGAGACACACTGAAACAGTTTCATAAATAAGCAAAGCATTCTGCATAAATGTGACCTTCTTCATGCATCTTTGTTCAAGTCCTCACAAAACTCCTGACAACAATTTGGGGAAGGGAGGCTTCCCAGCTAAGGAAACCTGCCTGGCTACCAACACCCGCAAGGCTGTGTAACCTGACAGCAAGGGCGCTGCAGCCCACCTTGGCTCCAGCCAACGCAACTCGAAGGCTTAGAAATAGTATCAGAAAACGCATTCAAACAACTGTTCTTATGCTAAGGTTGAAATCCTCCATACTTCAAAATCTGTAATAGCCAAAGTACCTAGGGAAACACACAGATAAATATAGATAGATACATAGATTTTCTTTTTGGTATCAAGGATTGAACTCACTACCCCGGGCTTTCCAGGCAAGTGCTTGTGCCACTGAGTTAAATCCCTGGCCCGCAATATATATTTTTGAGAGCAGAGACCAAATCCAGCTAGTGCGGCACGGTCCCTTTCCCAGTCTGAGCTCAGCTGTCCCATGGTTCAGGTGAGAGGGGAGTCCCAGGCCTCCAGCCAGATCCCTTCTAGTAGTCAACACATACTCCCCAGGATCTCCTCCACCTTACCTGGAATGGAAGCTCAAGAAACTGACAGGGAATCTCCATTAAGAGATCGAGGTCTACGTGAGACCTATTACCATAGTCAACAAAGAACACCTAGAACATAAAGAAAAGAAATGCTCGGAATCAGGGTGAAAACAATGTCCCACTTGAGCAACGGCAACACAGTGGTCTTCTCTAATTCCACAGCCACAGAATTTGGGTGACCTGCTGCTTTACCTTGCAGTCCTCCTATAGTGGCAAGGATACCTCATTTCCATCTGTATTCTCAAACAGTTTTATACAAATCGCTGAGAGTCTGTCTTTCTTTTTGAGTGATTTTCTATCAAAAAACATACCTCAGCAGAATTTCCCGAAACATAAAGGATTTGAGCTCTGAAGTAGCTTTTCTTATCAAACTCCATGAAAGGTGCCAGACAGACCATGTCGGGGTGTGGGTGGACTGGCAGCGGCACCAGCTCCAGCCTGTTGATTTCAGCAGTCAGCTTCTGCAGAAGCTCTACATTCCTTTCATCAGTCCTGTAACCCCAGAAGTGTCCCACCTCTACCACCTGAAAAGAAGAGGGGCAGAGGGACAGGCAGGGATGAAGCCTAGGAGTGGGTCACACAGCACTTCGCAAGACTGTTTAGTCCAGATGATGGGCCAGTAGCACATGGCCTCAGCTGTCCCCAAGGCCAGTGAGGGCCAGGAGGATCAGTGCACAGCCCATACTGGCAGGTGGGGCCTGGCATGCAAGAGTGGAAGTCTCGTCAAGCAGCTTCTGCCCTATGCTACCACAGACCTCAAGGGCCCAGGCTGTCAGGAATCCACATTTATAAATAAAGCTTCCCAGTGGGTATAGCTACAGGTTTACCACAAAGCATACAAGTATTTTAACTGAAAAAAAAAATATTTTTTTTTGTCTTTTTTGTTTTTATCGGTACCAGGGATCGAACTCATGACTGCCTGCTTATAAGGCAGGCACTTATGCTGCTGAGCTAAATCCCCAGCCCCTTAACTGAAAATTTAAAAGTAAAATCAAACCCAAATAACAATGGAGACAATGTTAGTCTTGATATAAACTGAATCATACAGGCACATATTATTATGCGAATTAATATTTTTAAAACCTATCATGCTAAATATGTCTACTTCAGTACTTTTTTGCCGGCTTGGACCACCAGTGGTCCATGTGACACTGTCAGTGCCACTCAGTCAGGGGGATAGTCACACATGTAGGGCTGGTGGTCCAAGCCAGAGAGGTCATAAGATGCTCAGTCCTGTAGCCCCAGCTCGGAGCCTCCTAGCAGTGAGACACACAAATGGATCATGGCCCTTCAGGTGCATGTTAAACGTACTCAACATTATACAAATTAACTTTGATTACAGAATAAATATTTGTTTCATTTTATATTTTGGATACATTCCAATTTAATAAGAGCAATAATTCAAGTTTACTCATGTTTGCTAACAACTTTCACAACAACTTTCATACTACTTTTTTTTTTTCTTTTTTTGGTACTGGGAATCAAACTAATGACTGCATTTGCCAGGCAGCTGTTTATGCCACTGTGATAAATCCCCAGCCTGGCTTTTTTCATAGACATACGCAATGTTTCTAAAACTCAATCACATCATTCTTACCTCTGTAACATCGATGGTCAAGAGGAGATCTGTAACTGTCTGGGACCTGTCCATGGTGTTGAATGAGACTTGCATAGGATCCACTGTCTGCTTCTGGAAGTCTACATTCACTCTACATAACACATGTTTAAAAGAAAAAAAGGCAATAAAAATCAAAGAGTTACTAAAAAATACCCTTACCTGTATAACATTATCACTGACCTAGACTGTATTTCCATAAGCAAAAGGCACTTTAATAAAATATCCATGTCTGTGCTATGGTGTTGATTCTGGGTGTCCCTCCTGAAGGCCCACAGCCTGCTGGGAGGTGGGAGAGCTTTGGATCAAGAATTTCCCCGAGGCCACACATACCCATGGCAGGGCTTTCCTGCTGGGCCATGGGTGGCTGCTGCCCTGCTGTCCAGTGGACTCCAGCCCCTGTGGCAGAACTAGAAGAGCCTGATTCACTTCCCAGCTCCTGAGGAACCTTGGCTCCCTGTGTCCTGGCCACCAGGATGGGATTCACTTTCCTCTCCCACCCCTCCATCATGCGATCTAGGACTCCCAAAAACAAGCCTTTCCTCCTTTAAACTGTGGGGGTCAGGTATTTTGACCCAGTTACAAGAAAGTGACTAAGACAGCCAAGATGGGAGGACATGAGGGCACTCAGATGTGCCCTTGAAGGACATAACTGGAACCCTGGATCCTTTCTTTGTTTTTCTGAAGCAGAGTCTCACTGTGTAAGCTAGGCTGACCTGGAACTCACAGTGATCCTCCTGTCTCAGCCTCCAGAGTGATGGGATACACTTGCCCAGCTCTCAAAACAATAAACTAAAAAGTGAATTTCTGGTGGCATCCTGAGCTTCCCTGGGAGGAATACATATATATCCTAGTAATTATGCATTACTGTTTGGGAATACACTGGAAAAACCAGGACTCTTCCAGAGTATCTTCTTTGGAAGGGCATAAGTTTTCAATCTAGGACCTACAATGCTTCCTACTTTGTGATCTCAGGAGCAGGTCTAAATTTAGAAAAGTGAAATTTCACACTTGGCTCAATGCTATGTCATGAGACACACACACAAATGTCTAATAAGCCCAAGGAATGTCATCCATCTCTTAGTAAGACAATAAATTCCCTCCATATCCAAAGTTCTGGGTAGACACGAAACTTTCCCTTCAGCATACTTTCATTCTAAATGAAGGGATGAACTGCAGGAGCACCAGGATCCACTATCTCCTTCACACGTGAGAGGCTTCAGCACTGAGCTGAAGCTGGCTCTGCGAAACAGAATGGCCTTCTCGTGTCTCTCGAGGACACGGCCCCCCACCTGCTGAAGGCTCAGAAGCCAAAACACTGAGCACTGGATGACAGCAGGTGGAGCATGCTTCCTCAGACCCCTGCCAAACTCACCCTAGAATCCCACAGATCATGTATGAGAAGCAATAAATCATACTTCCTACCTCTGTGGCCAGGAGGCAAGGAACCTATTACAAAGAAGAGCTGGGAGCACCATGTCTACTGCCCCGCCCTGAGACACTCCACCCTGAGACACACAGCCAGGGCAGCAGTCCCAGTCCGCACCCCAGAAGTGGAGACCAGGGCAAGCTGCAAGCACAGGCGCTCCAATTGCACACTATGCGTCCACCCTTGGCCCTGGTAAGGCCAAGACAAACTCTGCTTTTCATACAAAGAGCTCTCAAAGGGAAACAATAAACACAGGAAGGAAGAAATAAAGTTTACATTAGGGTTTAATCTCTACAATAAAGTGGAAACTATGTGAATGCTTTTACTCAGTCCTCTCCATAGCCATGTACAATGGGCACATCTATTAAATAGGTGAAAAGCAAGGAAAGGTTAAGTAAAGTACTCGGTCGGCACATGGGGGACAAAACCACATCCAGTGCAGACACCTGACTATGAAGCCAGAGCCTGCAACCGAGCACAGGCGAGGCTGACAGTGCTGAGAAAGCCGCTGACAAAGCGAGCTGCTGCCACGGCGGCCTCTGGAAATACCTCGTGTTCCTGAGCTTCGACACCACCCCTCCTTGCACCTTCCCTTCTATGTCCTCAGCAGCATGGACACTGAGCTCCAGGGACATTTTCAGCTGGGCCATCTTCACTGCCATGTACACTGCAGGAAGGGTCTTAAATCTCTCTGTCGGATTCCGGGAAAACTCCACAAAGGCTCTGTTCCACACAAACAAATAAAAATAAATTTATCAGGCATCTGATTTTTAAAAACAATCACATGTTAATTTCTCTCAATTCTGGCAAAAAAAAATCTCACTGGACTTCACTCTGCAATATTCGGTAAGTTTTTGACCTAATCAATTGATAAAAAACATCGATTGACTGATTTAAAGAAAATTTCACTAGGGAAAATCAAAGTTACAATGACAATTCATTAACTTGAAGCCAGGTATCATCCTTGTACAGGATACTGTAGAATAAATACTAAATCTACATAGACATATCAGCCAAGACATCTTAACTTTCTTAATTACAATGCAAGGTCTGCTTTAACTGTCATGCTATAAAGCAAACACAGAAAACCACAGAGATACTGTGCAGTGGTCCTGTGAGCCCCCAAAACAACCACTAAGTGAATCGCCAATTAACACTGACAGAGGCCCACCCCCCACGCCCCTAACATACTTCAGGGTCCTCCTCTGTCCCTTCCTCTAGGGGAAATGAGAACTGAGCACGAGCAAGGACACCCACACACTTTATTCCTGGAATAAATAAAAAAGCCACAAGCAGGCTCATAGCAGGGCAGATGGGGGCATAGGCCCCAGGGGGATGGAGGAGAGATATGTGCCACTGAAGGAGCCCTGTAGACAACTAGTGAGCCCCCCCCCCAGCCACGTTGTGGCACTTTGTCATGGGCACGCATCACTCTGGGTGACATGGAAGGGCTCTGAGCAAAAAGTGCATAGGACTGAGGGGTGCATGCAGCAGCCCGGCAGCTGCGCCCCCCAAGCCCTCCTCTCCTCCTCTCATACCCACAGGTCCCCCTCTCACCCCGCCCGGCAGGTTCCTGGCTTCCCCTCACCACCAGGTAAAACATGGCTTTCCCTCCTACCCGCCGCCCAAGTCCAGCACTGCCCAGTTCACTCAGCCCGCTCAGGCAGCGTGCTGGCTGTACACCATTTCAGGCACGGCCCGCTATCACTTCAGCCAGCCAGTTCTTGCGTGCATGAGAGGCATGTATACAGCTGCTATTTTGTTTTACACCAACTATTTTTTGCATCCTTTTAATTTTAGAATGTTGTATTCACCTTGATGCTTTTTTCTAGCAAAATCTAATAATAAATTCTGATTATTTTCTTTTATTAATTTGTGTTTATTTGTGAAAAAGAACCTATAATTTTGTGTTATAATCTATAAAAACTTATTGAAAGTACATTAGTTATAATTTTTACACTTCTCTAGAATTCAGTGATATTCTTTTATGATTCAAAACTAACATGTTTGGGACACTGAGGCTGAAGAGGGAAGAAGTGCCAAAAGATCTGTGAAAGGCAAAAGTGAAAAAGGAGAAATGTTAGCAGATCAGGGAGGAAAGGCCTATGTTATGAAATGGAAAGACAAAAAAGACGTCTCGTGTTTGTCAACTATTCATAATGCGGAAATGACAGAACTTGAAAGAAGAAATGAAACTAAAAATCTGCAGTAGTGGTCAGTGATTACAGCAATTCAATGGATGGTTTTGCCCGAGTTGACCTACATCTAACAGCTACCCTGTAATCAAAAAAGTGAGGAAAAAAGTTATCATGAAATACTTATGTATCTTCTAGATCAAACAATGTGGAACTCATTTAGTTTTGTTATTTATTCCAAATGAGGGGACTAAAGTCATTTACTATTTAGATTAGGTCTAATAGGACCAAATAATTGAAAAATAAGACATAACAAAACTCTAGCCAGGGGCTGGGGATTTAGTCAGCAGCATAAGCGCCTGCCTTGCAAGCAGGCAGTCGTGAGTTCGATCCCTGGTACCGATAAAAAAGGAAAGAAGACAAAAAAAAAACACTAGGCAGAACATCCATCATTGACATCTTCACCATTAAGTTTAGTGGGCAGACATTTTACTGAAATTAGAGCAACCACAGAAAAAAAGGCCAATATAACAGTGTAAAGCGTGCTGTTCAGAGAAAGACAATAATGCAAAAAGAATTCAGAACGAGACTAGAGGATGTTTTAAGATATACCATACACAGAAAAATTATTGAATAAATTTGTTATCTTTTTTTTTTTTTTTCTGGTACCGGGATCAAATTCACGACCACGCCTTTGCAAGGCAGGCCTTATGCCACTGAGCTAAATCTCTGGCTTCTTGTTATAAAATTTATCAAAAAACGCCATTTGTGGTCACCTGTACCTAAATAATCAGATAGTAAATGGTGCACTTCTGTTTCTATCACCCTTTTGGAGGCTCCTGAGGCTTTCCTTAGAAACAACGTCTCCTGAACTCTGGCGCACACTGCCAGCTCTCAATTCCATAGTGTTTTCCTCTGGGTGCTCTGTGGCGAGCCTGTGTGCCTTCCCTGGAAGCCCTAGCCTCCTCAACAATTCTCTCCTTGTTCCCCATGGGCAATCAACAGCCAAACCCAAGAGTTCCACACCCCAACTGCTGCCTCTTCCTTTTCATTAGCCCCAGGCTGGCCCCAACATCTCCACTGCCCCAGACTGGCTTTTTCTCCCGAGTCTGATCTGCCTTCAGGTACCCACACAAGTCCCACAGAACATGAATAAGAGCAGAATACTTGGGGGTCTCCAAGGGTCCACCTATTCACGTTCCTATTCATCAGTCTGCCAGAAAAGACCATTGTGAAGACGGAGCCTGACACCCCAAATCAGACTCACCTGACACTGGCCACCCAGCTCCCACCAAGCCACTTGCCACAGGCCTGCTCAGTCCCAAGCTCTCCATAGCCATGAGTCAGGCCTTACCCTCCTCCTGCTGCAGCCCCAACCACCCTGTCCCACTGGCAGCCTCCACCTGCCCCAGGACCTGCTCACCCACAGCCTGAGAGGAGCATTACTGGTCCTAACTCTGGGCCTCTCCTGTGACATTTCACAACAGGCAATGTTTGTGGCGCTAATGTCACTCCCCACCACAAAGTGCAAAGTTGCATCTGGGAGACCCTCCACAGCTCCCATGGGCTCGTGCCGCTGAGCTATATCCCCAGCCTAAGACAGGAAAAATATGAAACACAGACTCTAAGCCAGATAGAGATTACTGAACAAAGAGACTGCTACCTTCTGACCATCAAGATTAACCCTGAGAACATGGGGTACACCCAGGGATGGTCACCCCGACTCTGGATGCTCCAAACAGCAGCATGCCTGTGAGGAGCCAGCCAGGGCCAGTGTTTTTGCAGGTGTGATGACAATTCCAACTGCTCGTGGTTCACACCATACATCAGAAAACTTCCAACACCGTAGCTTAATTTATTAAATCTCTAAGGCTGGCCAAGCATATACCTGCATCTCAGCCTGAAATCAAGGCCAGCCTGAACTATATAGCAAGATCCTGTCTCAAAAAAAAAAAAAACAGAAGGAAAAGAAAAAGAAAAGCCTATGATTGTTGAGTGTACTTAGAAATGTTTTCTTTGTTAGGATTATGGGAGGATTCCTGGGGTGGAATTCACACGCCTACAAAGAAAATCAATATACTAATCATAGAAATGGAACTTAAAATGTTGGAGTGAATTAATGCAAATTGAAATGTATTTATTATGTTCAACTCAAGTAAAATGGACATTAAAGAAAAAGTGTTCTCCTTAACTAGACTTATAATGCTTTGTCAAGTTAAAAAAATTTTAGGGCTGGGGATTTAGCTCAGCAGCATAAGCACCTGCCTTGCAAGCAGGCGGTCGTGAGCTCAATCCCTGGTACCGATAAAAAGAAAAAAGAAAAAAAAAGTGTAAAAAAAAAATTTTAAACATGGACAGAACATGTGAAAAACATTTCTAACTTTAAAAACTGAAAATCAATTTAAAAACTGTCATCTTTTTTAGCATAAGCACTTCTCATTGAAAATAACTCCCAGTGATTCTCCATCACATCATTCATTCTCAACCTGCTAATAAAATAGGGCCGTATGAATGGAGCTTTGACAGTGTTTTACCCAAAATGATTTGGGACAAAAACATCCTAGTAACTATGATCAGCCACCCTCCATCCCAGAGCAACCCCCACGACTGACTGAGGACCTAGCCAGGCACTAGAGGAAGGCCCACCAAGATGGTTTACACAAGCCTTGGGCCTCAGACCTGACCCTACAATGGCTAAAACACTACCCCGGGCCCTGTTAGAATGAAGGCTGGTTACAAAAATGTGCTACTTACTTCGCACCATCAAATACGATGGACTTGACCTGCCCACACTGTCTGAAGAGAGATTGCAGCTGTTTATAGTACAGGAATCCGCAGGGAGGAATGTGCTTCAACTGTAAGACAGAGCACAGCATGGTGGTTACAGTGTCCCTCGTGGACTATGGGCCAGTCCCAATACTGGATCTTGGAGCTGCTGCTCACCATCCTAGTTAGCAAAACCACAGTTCACTGTCTTTCACCATAACAGATAAACTGTCAGTGCATTAAAATTTGGCTTTTAAATCATAACTAGGACTTAGTAATTAGTATGTTCAATAATGATTAATGCTTCCCACACTAAACTAGCATGCATCTGCAGCTTCAGAAGGATTGGGAGATAAGAGTCCAGCCTAGACAACTCTAACTGAGTACCCTTATCTCAAAATTTTAGAAAGGGCTGGCTATGTAGCTCAGTATGAAGGCTCTGGGCTCAACCCAGTACCCTACGGTTGTGCAAGAAAAAACAATGAAAACTGTCTAACAGCAAAATTAAATTTCTGCTTACTTCTGTATCATTTTATCTTAAAATAATTGAGCTGACCAAACACATCTTTGTAAAATGTCACATCTCTAAATAAGACTTACTGGGAAGCTGATTAAGGAAAACATGCTCCTGATCAGAGGAATGGTGCCTGCTTGTCAAGACCTCAGGCACTCTGCCTGTCTCAAGGGTCAATCACATTCTGGGCATTGGCTCCACATGGGGGCCCCTGCCTGGCATCAGGCCCTGTTGACCTTGGGGCCCTCTGGAGCTGCAATGGGCACCATGCCAATGAGGATGCAGCTTAGATGCAGGAACAAATTCACTCCCACCTCATCTTTCCCTGAAGCTGCGTGGCTCCTTAGGCAAATTATGAGATGGCTGTCACATTAGGATGACAATAAACTCTCAACTCCGAGGGATAGTGTAAGCTTAGAGAAGACAGAAAGTATTTTGTACATAGCTTCTCACAGAAGTGCTAAGCAAACCAGTTCAGACTTAGGTTTATGATGCCCAATTACTAGCTTTTAGCTCCCAGAATGCATGGTAACTGGCTAGCTGGTGGCATAAGGAGACAATGTCTAAGATGAGGACCTTAGGGCCCCTCCATAACACACAGCTGAGAAAGGGCACCACAAGCGGAAGGAGAGACAAGAAGGCTGCAAAGGCCTCTGGCAGCCCTGAGGAGCAACAAGAGCGCTGGCCCCAGCTCACGCTGCTCCAGTACAGAAGCCAGTGGCTGCCTCTAGAGGTAAAACCCTCGTGCTTACACCAGCAGCACCCCCCAGTGCTCCAGGCCTTCCCTTGTGGCAACAGGAGAGGTGGAACATGGCTCAGAACAAGCAGGCAGCCACCAGCGCTTACTGCATGGTGGGAGCAACTTCCCCACATATTGTTCGTCCCCTAGATCAGACCCAGGCTTACACCAGCCAAGCAGGCTGCTCAGGTCCAATTCCCAGACACTTCACCCCAGGTAGGAATGGCACTGTGCAGGGTGTGAACAAATGGCCTAGGGTGCTGTCCCCTGGTCAGTGCCAGTGGCTGCTCAGTGGAGCTGTCCAAAGCACAGGCCATTTAAATGCTGATTTCTAGGCTAGACGTTCCAGCTCAGACTTTAAGGAAGCCCCAATCTGAATTTTAAAGTGAATCATATAAACATTAAGGGATCACTGGTTTAAACCACAAGACTAAGCCACCAAGCAATGCCACTTTCTTTTGTGTAAAATTAAGTTGTTAATTTAATAAAATGTCCTCAAATTTACGAAGAAGGATCTTAAACCCTTCGAAACGGTCTGTGTTGTAACTGGCCTTGCCATGAACACACCATTCTCCAGGCCTTCGCATAAGCCTGCATCTGTCAGAAAGGAGGGAAAGCCTGAGGCCTGGAGAGCAGCATCTGCAAGGCCAACACACAAGGTCCTCACAACAGAAGAAACCGGATGGCACTTACAAAAAGAAACAACGCTCTATGCAAACCCTGCGGGAACATGACTCAGCCGCTCCTCTGCACCTACCACAATGGTTGTCTTGGGGTCTTTGCCAGCCAGCTCCCTCACTGCCATCTCCTCGTCAGGCTGTCCAAAGGTGAAGTAATTTGGGTAAAAAGCACCTGCCAATACGACCTAGAAGAGAAGCTCAAGTTCACGAGGAAACAGTGTCGCTTTGTCAGGTATTCTTGCCCCTAACAAGTTAAAGACTGTTATCCTGTTTTGCGTGGAAACGGGACCTCTCACCCATGAAGCAAGTCACACCCAGGGCACACCCTACAGGCACCCTTCCTTCACTTCTTAGAGTGAGGCTCACGAAATGGTGGTCTGAGCAAGGTACACTGTCACATGCACAAAGCCTAGGCCCTGGCTCACATTCTCCACCCTGGCCCGACACTCAGTCCAATGGGTCAGACTCCTGCCCAGGTGTGTAGACGGAACTTCAGTGTGGCATCTGGCAAGGGCTGGCATCTAATGCTCACATCTAAAAGGCACTCATGAAGAGATCCTTCATCGGTCAAAATATGCACGCCAGCCTGGTAGCCACTTTACCCTAGAAAGCATCTGCACTCCCAGCATGCCCAGCTCACAGGTTTCTGCCTCAAACCCAATTCTGTATGCCCCAGCCAACTCAGAAACCTGCAAGGACCTGCCACTGCAAGGACGCACTTTCCTACAGAACGCCTGTGAGGCTCCGTCCACAGCTCTGCCTCTCCACCCTTGCCTGCAAGGGCAATGGGAGGGAATAGCTGCAGGCATGGGACCACCTGGAGGGCACCTTCACTTTCTGAGAGCTCCCTGGGAGTGACTATGCAGCTGGTGCTCCCCAGAAACACACTGGAGAAGGAGAAGCAGGTCTGCGGCACCAGCTCCAGTGGTGTTGACACCAGTGGTGTCAAAGGGAAAGACAGGAGTCACTCCCACTTTCTCAACACAGTGTGACTCTCAAAACCTGCCCTGAAGTCAGGCTGGTAGCAGTAGATATCCCCTCTTCAACCACAGGCCACGTGCAGTCCCATGGGCATACCTGCAGGATAAAGCGCTGCTTATACGGGTACTCTGGGTCCAAGATGGGCTGCCTCGGGTCCACATGCATGTTGAACTGTGAGACTCTGCTCTTCAGCTCTTCATATAGCTCAGCCACCTAAGAAAAACACATTGAAATCTGTGTAAGACTCTGGAAAAAGACATGCCCATTGTGGAAAGCCTTAGCACATGGACCCCTGACACTGACGGTATAGCTGGGGATCCCTAAAGCGTTCACACGGTCAAGGAAGAATGAGAATACCCAAGCACACGATACTCCTATGAGAAAGCTGTTACCTGGACACGAATCTGAAATTAAAATAAGTAGATTGCTTATAACTGCATAACCAATAACTTGAAGATCTACATAAAATGAATTATTGAATAAAAATATATTTAACCAAGAATAACTTCAAAAGAGATAGAAACCAGAAAGGACCAACTACTATCAAGGAAACTTAAAATATTATTTTTTTAAAAGTTGCTCCTCAGTCAGTGGGAGAGGGGAGGGTGGGTGTGAGAGTAAAAAGGACCAAGATGTGCTATGTATATGTACAAGTCCCAAAATGACTAATTATTATGGATCATCACAAACATACACTACTAGTAAAAGCTTGTCCCAGGTGCTTTTATAGATGAGTCCTATTGATTTAAAATAAACACACCCCCAGCTACTACACAAGCTAGGCTACTCCTGAGCATGGGAGACACTCATCCTGCCAGGATGGAACCACTCTATTTCAAAGCCTGATTGTATCACGTACACGCGTGTGCACATAGTGCACACTAACACCATAAACCACCAGCCAGTTTCACTTGGGTACTCTTGTGGAAATTCTAGATAAAACACTGGTGGTCAAAAGCCAGCAATGTTTTGACAGAAAAATATTACAATCAAGGAGGTTTAGTCCAAGAATACAAGGTTGGATCAACAGTAGGAAACCTTGGCGATGTACTTTGTTGTAACATTCAGTTAACAGTGAAAAGACCACATGCTTATCTTGACACGGGAAGAGGGGTCTGACAAGGTAACACCCCATTCCTTGTTCATACATGGGAAGCATCGCCTGACTTTTAGGGTACACAAGCAGGTGCCATGTATAGAGGTGAAGACACTGCTCCTCCTGCTGGTGCTCAGCCTGACAACTCAGTTTCTTGGGCCATTTAATCGGAGTTTGTGACTTACCTCTCTAATTCTCTTGATTTGAATGTAATTTAATCGTCCCCAGTCGAGTTCATCCTTTAAGTACATCAAAGCATAATATTCAATGTCAAGGTAATACTTTAGCGTTCCATTTGCCTAGTAAATCCAGATTAATGCAAACTAATGCCGCTCAGTAGTGCCCTCGAGGGACCACGGCACATGCTCTTCTAACTCACATTGAAGCTACAAAACACAGGTACCAGCTTCAAACCCTGTATAGAGACAGCTCTTCTTATGAATTCACCTGTCCCAAAAAGTAAAACAGACACAACCTGACGAGGCTGGTAAAAACACAAGACAGATGGAACACCAATAAGGAAGACACGATGGCTGTGTTAAGGGCCACCACTTTTTTTTTAACCTGGTATTCAGGATTGACTCCAGGTCCTTGCAGAGCTACTTGGGAAATGCTCTGGAGGTGCTGTAGCTCTGAGCTCCATCTTGGCATTTTTTAGGCAGTGTCTTGCTAAATCACCCAAGCCAGCCTTTAACTTCCTCCTGGCTCATTTTCCCAAATAGCCAGGATCACACACATGCACTGCAAGGCCAGACGAAAGGGCATCTTCACAGGGCAGCGCACATGCTCCCTAGTAAAAAACCTATCACACACAACAGAACTAGCCAGCCAGATCGAGCCACAGTCTTTGAAGAGAACAAATGTGACCCAAAAGAAGAAATAAAATGAAGACTATTGGACTAAATATCATGTAAGTTAAAAGCAGCAAAGGCTACAGGGTACTTAATCTGAACCGGCATGCACCCACCCACCACAGACAGGGTGGTGAGCCAGGGGAGCTGTAGGTGTGTGGTACTGCTGCCCTGCAGGCTGGCAGTGAGCAGTCACAGGTGCTGCAAACAGATCGAGGCCTGTCCCTCAGATAGCAGCTCAGGCGTTAGGACCAATGAAGTCCAGCGCACTGATGAAGTAGGGAGAGAATCCCAGGCTATCTGATCCCTTGCAGCTGTCTACAAGTAAACAACAAGAGAGTGAGACTAACCTTGGGATGCCGCAGCTCTCCTCGCTGTCGACAGGCCTGCCACATCTACAAGGAAATGACCAGTTTCAAAACGGCTTACGGATTAAAATTTAAAGCTCCACACTGAGCACAGAAAATTTACTGATTTAATGTTTTCAATCAATTTCATGAAATTGGCCCCCACCCCCACCCAGCTCTTTTTCCTACAGTTTGTTAAGACCTGAGGTCAAGGATCCTAAACTCTCTCCGCCCCTACAGCTCTGGGATGGGAACGCACTGTCCACTTAGGGCACTGCCTCGCCGCAGTGCAGAGACTCACTTTAAATGCCTCCACAAGTGCGAGGCAGTCACTGTTACTGCTGCCAGAGAAGTTCACCTTGTTCCTGCACACAGAGAAGAGAAGCATCACTCGACAGCATAGAGACCAAGCAACCCCTTACAATCTGAATGATAAATACCTATATCCATCGAGATGCTGCCGAAAAGGCATCGCAAAAAAGTTCTTCAGTGAAAGAGCTGCGGCTGATGGAAAATACAGAGAGGAAGAGGTTGAGGGGGCTCCAGGAACCCCTCGGGCTCACCTGTGCATGCACTTACCAATGATGAGACATTCATCCAAGCATCCGAACACATGTCCGAGCACTATGAGTTTGCCCAGGTGCTGACTGACAGGGAGCTGTGCCAATACTCTTCCCAAGAAGGTCAGTTCGCCATCATGCGGGTTCTCATCTTCTCTCTGCCCACTAACTGCAAGTGCTCCCACCTTAGTAAAATAATTAGTCCTGTTAGCAAGTACCCATCCATTCATGCCCTGTTCATCCTTAAGGCAGAAAGTGCAAAACAGGAAATAAAAGCCAAATTTGGTAACTAATATTCTAAAAGACACCAAAGTCAACTTATGCAAGGTTGATGTACCACACACATAAAAGTATTTTTCTGAGGCAAAGTCTCACTATGTAGAGCAGGCTGGGCTTGAGCTCACGGTGACCCTTCTGACTCAGCCTCCCAAATGCTAGGGGTATAGGTGTGTGCCACCACTCCTGGCCCACAAAAACATTTTTAATTTGCTCTCCTAAATTTCACTGTTTTGTAAAAGGTATGGTATTGGGTAACAATAGGTTTGCAAATGTCCTCTTAGCTCACAGCTTAACAAATACAGCATACACAGTATAAGTAAATGACCCGACATCCACACCACAGGGTCACTCATCATAAAAGCTTAAACTAGGCAAAAAACCACTTTTCTTAACTCGTCAAACTGTTTTGCATGGAAACCCATGCAGGCTTCTGAGGCTAAGATGGCAGCAGTGTCCTGGGCTCCCAGGGTGGAAAGCGTGTACACAAGGACACTGCTGATCCTGAGACCGGGACTGCATGTCGGCAGAGCACAGCATGAGTCAGGAGTGGGTCACAGAGTCCAAAGCAGGGTGAGCAGGGTCCCCACAGAGGACGGAGAGCCAGAACAAAGGGGACATGTGGAGCTAGCACGGGATAGTGGAAGATGAGCGCATGCATCAGGCCAGAGGCACACAGCAAAGGAAGAGAGAGTGGCTCGCAGGAAGACCCAAACAGAGCTGGTCTAAACAACACGCACAGGACTGGAAGTCACTCCTCAGGCAGGGGAGGCTTTTCCAAGCACATGTTGACAATTCACAACAGCACAACACCTCCAAGATTGTGAAACTTAGGTTCCCCTACTAAACATTTTGCTTTTCAACCATTCATAAAGTTCCAGACAGCCCTACCTCCTTCAGCAGGAGGATGGTGCGCTCAATGTCACTCAGGCTAGGCGGCGAGAGGGCAGTGGCTAGCAGAGCTCTCGGCTCACCCATGTCAAGTAACTTCACTTTGAGTACTGTGCTTCCTAGTGGACAGCGCTGAGGAGAACAAAACAGTTTAGAGACAAGAAGAGAGCGAAGCTAGACTAGTCACATGACTGGTGCTCTAGAAGGAAAAGGAAGAGAGGAAGGAGAAAAACAAGAAAGGTGAGACAGAAGGAGAAAAGAGAAGAGAAAGGCAAAGACAGGCAGAGAGAGAAGAAAGAAAAAGACAAGGGAAAGGGGCCAGAAAGAGAAAGAGAGTGGAGAAAGAAAGAGGAGGGACAGAAGAAAGAAAAAAGCTGACCCACAATTATCCATTGCAAAGGTAAGAGAGAACAGCAGCACTTAGGAAGTCAGCAGCTTCCCTCCGGGACACACTCTCCCACGCTGCCAAGTCAGACGGGGTGAGCCAGCACTGTGATCTGACGCCCTAGTCAGCGACCCTTTACGTGCCATTAAAGTTACACTGAATTGTTTGGTAAATTGCTTATCTATAAAAAATTAACTCTGACAAAGACTGAAGCACATTACCAACATCTCTGGAACGACATGGTCGGGGATGCACTTCTCCCAGAAATCCCGGGACACCAGTCTGTAACAGTGCCCTCTGGACACTCGTCCTGCGCGGCCTGCAAAGGAGAAACACTCAGCACCACGTGGTATCAATTACTGGAACTCGAAGGGACAGGTGAGCCCAGCTGTCAGACAGCAATAAGAAAGTAGAATTATCTTCTACCAGACTCGTCACTCACAACTTCAGAATAAGCCAGCATGCAAAGTAATAAGTTAATCTGAATTTGTTCAAATAAGAACAGCCTCAAAAGAATAAGTTAAGGGCCAGGGATTTGGCTCAGTGGCATAGGCAGCAGTCCAGCAAGCACGAGGTCATGAATTTGATCCCTGGTACCAGAAAAAGAGTAAGTTAAAATAAGATTAAGTTCTAACTTCTGCTCAGTGATGAATATTATAAAGTCCAATGTATATTTCTGTTTGTTTGAGACAGGGTCTTGCTATGTAGTTCAGGCTGGCCTTGAACTCATTATGTAGCTCATGCTGACCTCCGACTCACAGCAATCTTTCTGCCTCAGCCTCCCCAGTGCTGGTATTAAAGGTGTGTGCTACCACACCCAGCTCCAATGTGTGTTTATTTAAAAAAAAAAAAAAAAAAAACTTGAGCCAATATAGCAACACAGGCCTACAATTCCAACACTCAGATGGCTGACGCAGGAGCATCCTCGTCAAACTCAAGACCAGTCTGGACAACTTGGCAAGATCCTGTTTCAAAAAATAAAAATGGGCTAGGGGTGTAGCTCAGTGTAAAGGTCCCAAATTCAATCCCCAATACCACAAGAAAAAGAGAACATTGGGGCTGGGGATTTAGCTCAGCGGCATAAGCGCCTGCCTTGCAAGCAGGCAGTCCTGAGTTCGATCCCTGGTACCAATAAAAACGAAAAAGACAAAAAAAAAAAAAAAAAAAAAAAAGAAAAGAAAAGAAAAAGAGAACATGAAAAGAAGAGGCAGGAGAAAGGGCAAAGGAAAGAGAGAAAGGGAGGTGGGAAACAACCTTGGCCTCATATACATTAGAAACCACATTTAATTTAAATAGCACATTTCCTGTGAATGTACAGGTTCATGTTAATACCCAGTAGAAGATATGCAGCTGACATAAGTGACAGCTCATCCAGGGGGATGTGCACTGGTCAGAGATGTAAGGAGCTGCTCCTGCTGTCTGTCCCGATACCTGTGCACGAGTGTCCCTCCACACAGCTGCTCCACACCATGTGACTGCAGGTATACATGCAAAATCTCAGAGCCAAGCTCAGCCCTCAGAGCCCACGCCACAACCAAATGAAACTTTTCAAGGAATTGGGGGTGGGAGCTCAATAAACATACAACTTTCAAAAACAGGGTGGCCCCAGGAGCTGTCCTTCCCCACTGTGAGGTGGGGAAAGACTGAAGGGTCTGGACTTCCTCCTCTATGCCCTCCCAGCCCTGTCTGCAAATAAAAGTAGGTTTAAGTAGAAGATCCCAAGTCACCCACAAAAACAAAAACTCTCCTATAACTAAATAAGGAATTCAACAAAGTGCAGGATAAAAGACCAGTAGCCAGGAGGCAAAATCCCTCCAGAGGAATCATCCCAGGCTCCAGACAACTAGAAATCACTATCACAGTCCGCAGTCCACCCGAGACATTCGAATCAGCTACATTCACCACAAAATATCCACTTCCGTGACCTACAGGAGAGCTGGAATTGGACTCCTTGTTCGACTTAAAGGAAGAAAAGTTTAATTTGGTTCATGGTTCAAGGCAATCAGTATGTTTGGATGGGCAGAAGAAAGCTACTCACCTCAGGACAGCCGGGAAGCAGAGAGAACAGAAGAACCCAGAACACAAATAAGCACTTCCAAGAGTCTCACCCCACTGACCCACTCTTCCACCCAGACCCCACCTCCCCAGAGCACATGCGGCCATAAGCTCCCCATGGAATAGTCCCTCACAGCACCCTCCAACCCGACTACCTTTCAAAAGCTTCACCTCTGAGCACATGAGACTTCAGGGGCACATTTTTGCTACTTTCTACAAAGGAAAATTGTATAATAAACTTTTTTTTTTTTTTGATACCAGGAACTGAATACATGACCTTGCACTTACCAGGCAGGTACTATGCTGCTGGGCTATATCCCCAGCCCTAATAAACATTTTTCTAACTATAAAAACTTTAAACATACAAAAAGGCAGAAAAAGATAATCTCAAAACTGGCCCCATAAAATTACTTTTAATGTTCCTGCATATTTCTAGTTGTTTTTTCTAGAGCGTCAGGGTCAGAAAAGCAGGTAAGACGCGGTGGCATGGCCATTGCTGAATGTTCTTCCCCATCTGTGTAACAGCACCCAGCTTTGGCCTCTGCAGTGACGAGATGCACTCCACGGCCAGGCTGGAGCAGCACCTCCACCAGCACCACACAGCAGAGCAGCCAACCATGAGGACCAAAGCAGAGTTCTCAGATTCCCAAACCTCAGCTCCTCCCTTCCACAGAACCGGGCAATTACTCTTTCGCATTTCAGAAGGCAGAATTAATAAAGAGACTGCACACTCACCTCTTGCTTGTTTTGAGGACTAAGTGAAGAAATGAACCACTTAGAATAGTGGCTGCTGTATTGTAAGCATTTACACACACTGCTTTTTATTTTGGATGTGGTACTCTATTTCCCAACGGGTACACTTGGAATGGTCTTTTACCCGCCCTCCAGAAGGTTCTCTACGAAACACAACCACTTCTCAGCAGGTTCCTAGACACCGTGATGCCTCCAGCAGCATGCTATCCCTGCAGGCACGCCGTGAACACACCTCCACTGCAGCCTAAGCACCCAGCCCCCAGTCGACCCCACAATGTCATCTCTGCTGAGCAACACATGCTGATGACAAAGCAAGTGCTAAGCCCCTGCGGAAACCATTTAGGAAAAGTACACTAGGGTCACCAAACTTCGGAGGAAGTCACGGGAAGGCTTGTCAATATTTAATGAAGTGATGCATTTGGCTATCAATGCAGCAAAAAATTTAAATATCACTATTGAAAAACAATAGGATTGAGATGACAGCACTTCTGTCCCTTATACTCAAGGATGCCACAAGATACACTGCAAGAGGAAACACAGAGTTACGGGACACTCTGACGACATGAGAGGTTGATGTTTAAATTTAAAACTGGCCCTAATAAAGTACACAAGTAACAGTGCAAGGCTCACATTTTTAGTACACTGTCCACTGTGCCTTGTGTTACCTGCAAGTCCGCAGCGTGCTCTGCCACAGACACCTACCTTTCCTCTGGTTACAACTGGTCTTGGAGGCCCAACTCAATCGCAGACTCTGGTAATTGGTATCTTCATCACAAACCAGGGTTCTAGTCAGACAAAAATCTATAACTGTCATTTGAGAAAAAGGAGTGTAAACACCATGCTAATACCACACAAGACTTGTATAACAACTCAGAAAGCACAGTGGTAAAGCACCACACGCACAAAGGCATGGGACTCTCTGGGAATGTGCTCCGATCACTACGACACGAGACAGGGAGGCCACAGTCTCTTTCTTACTAAACACTGGGGTCTCTGCGCACAAACAATATACAACCCCTAACGCCTAACGTACCCTAAGAAGAGCCAACAGGGAGGCCCAAATCCAAAGTTTATGATTACCCAAAAAGAATATCATCAGGGCAGAAACAGAGAAAAGCAGCTAATGTCCTGGGCTGCCAGGATTCAAATTGTTTCTGTGTCTGTCTCTCTCTCTGCCTGTGTCCGTGGGAGAGGGGGGTTAGCACAACGCGTCTGGTCTCTGTGCTCCAAGGCCAGTAGCCAGCAGGCACAAGGACAGTGGCTGTTCTCTGTGACATGGCTCTCTGCCCTCTACCCTCAGGACTCTCACTGCTATTGTCCTCCTCGGATTGCGCCAGTGCTGCCTGCCCCAGCCCCCAGCTCCCTGGTCCGCTCCAAGCACTTGCCCTCACCTAAGTTCTGGAGATTTCACTACCCATGTAAACAAAGCCCTATGCCTTAAAGCCCCACTCCCCAACACCCTTGCCTTCCACATGCTCTCACAACTCCTTACTATCACCACTCCTTCAAAATACACCCCGCCCCACCACAGTGATCTGGAGCAGGAACTTCTCTTTCCCTAGCCATCCTCCTCCTGGGACCCAAAAATGACCATTTGTCAGCTGCCCTCAGCCCCACCCTGCTTCCCTCCTGGTCACCCAACCACAAGTCTGGGGGACTTGCTGCATGTAGCTCAGCCTCCTTGCTGACCTTACTCTGCTGAGGCACCTGACAATCTGCCCGGCCTGTGTAGCCTGTACGGCCTTGGGGTGCCGAGGGGAACACGACTGGCCCCTCCCTCCTGACAGCTTGCCCACCTGCATGTCTTCTGCTGCAGCTTCTCACACTCTCTCCGCTGAGGGCCGGGCCTTCCGGTTCACCCGGCAGGTGCAGGCACCTCCAGGACCACCAAGACCACAGAGCCTTAAGCTACATCACCACGAGTTCTCACCCAGGTTATCAGAAATGCCCCTTCTCCTTTTGCTCTCCTTCTCCTCACTGCAGTCTATTCCTCAGAACCTGAACGGACTCTCTGACCTTCCCTCCTGGCTTGTGCTCACCTCCTCGCTGACTGAGGGCACCAACCACCCACTGCAGGCAGCCTTGTGGCCGAGTTCTTCCACCTCCACTCTGCCTTGGCGAGTCACACGCCTCCTTCCCTGCCTTCCAGCAGGACAGGGCTCCATGTCCTGGGACAAGCTTTCCTGGCCAGGCCAACTCCGGGGTCACAGCCTGCCCAGCACTCCTCACTCTCCTGCCCTCCCCTCCCTGCACCCCTCACCACTGCACTCACCACTTATGTGAACTTATCTCATTCCCTTATCTTCCCAACCTCCATCCCTGCATGTGTGCCTCCTGCACAGGGACAGAACACTTGCCAGCTCGCCCTCCTACCTTGTGAATCTTGTTCCCCATGTCTGAATCACATTTTTCATGGCTCACTGCTTTTTTCTCCCCACTTTAATACTGGGGATGGAGCCCAGGGCCTCCTATGAGGTAGTCAAGTGCTTCGCTGCTGAGCTCCACCTGTAGCCCTTTTACTAAAATTCTGAGGCAGAATCTCACCAAGTTGCCCAAGCTGACCTCAGACTTGTGATTCTCTTGCTGGCTGTACAGGTGCACGTACAGGTCCAGCCACCTCCTCAATTCAAGTTCTTGTTCAAATGTCACTTCCTCAAGGACACATTTCCACATCACTCTATATAAAATACCATTTTCCTCTACAATGCTAACCCTTCTCCTGATTTTTCCCTATTTAATATTTATCTCTGCCTGAAACTATATGTGTTACTGCCTGTCATCTGTCTATCCCACCAGAATGTAGTCAACATGAGGATGGGGACTTTGTCCTACTCAACCTGACACTGCTAAGCACTGTTTAGTTTTCAAACAAGATTAGTGAATTTGGGGGACTCAGTGGAGCAGTCCCAGTTCTCAAGGACACACATGCAGAGGCCTAAATGGTGCAGTGCTGGGCTCTGGAGCTGGCACAATATCCTTCTAAACTGCCTTCAAGAACAGAGATTACCAGGTCCTCTCCAACACCTGCCTCCCTCTAGCCACGGCACTCCATCTGGGCATCTCTGAAGCTCTGCTTGCTACAGGGCCTAAAAAGGCTCCAACCCACCCAAGATCAGCACCAGTGCAAGTGAAGTGGCTGCTCAGTGCAGGGAATGCTGAATTGACAGGATTCTCCAGTTTCTCCTCGACACAGGGCCAAAAGGAAGAGGACAATTCCCGATACCACATACTTACATACTTACCATACTTACCATACTTACCATACTTAACATCCGGAACGGTGACAGAACTCTCTGCAATGTTGGTGGACAGAATGATCTGACAAATACCAAAGAAAAGAAGCTGACATCATCCATCTGGTTCTGGACATCATTAGCAGAGTTAAAGCAAAACAAAAACTCCCTCTTGAAAATTACTTAAAAATTTCTTGGTGTAAACACTAAACTTAATCAAACTTTGAAATTAGCCTTTTCCCCACTTTATGCAGGTCACAACTGACTTGGAAACCCATGATGTGTGGAAAACAAGCCATACACAACATGCTAGGTGCTTAAAAGTAGCAAGCAAGATAAACGCAAGGAGTTCCTCCTGACCTACTGTGGAAGTATTGGGGGTCCTGGAATTACCTGCAATTACCAGGTGCAAGAAGCCAAACAGGTCAACCCAGAGCAAGGCACTGCGAGTGCCCTAGAATACCACCCAGTGATACGTTCCCTGACGCTCCAGACCTCCTCCCCGAACCAAGAGTTGGGGCTTAAGTTCATGGCCTGGTCCCTGGTCCTCCTAGGCAGCTCTGAAGGATAGGGACAACTCCAACATTCATTCGATATTCACACACAACCTGAGATTAAGGAAATCAGCAACCCCTCAGGCAGGACGTAGACCACAGCTTCTAACTGAAGTCACCCAGTAGTGTCAGGGCACTGGAATCGTTCCAAAACTTGAGGGACCGAAGAATAATGAGAAGACATCAAAACCCACTAGCAACAACACCCTGGGCGAACAGCCTGGGCTGCACAAGGGAGCACAACCGGCCTGCACTGCAAAGTGAGACCAACCTGGAGCACCTACTCTAAAGAAAACAACACGCAATGTATCAACAATTGCTATTCTATTATTTTGTTATGAAATTTTGTTTTACCTTTTTTCCATAAGATTAGAAAAAACAATACCTTTTAGCAAACCATTTTATAAAATAGGACAAGTCACAGCCAGTTAGTTCACCAGTGAGTACTGGGTAAGACGCCACCAGTCATAATTACATGGAGAAAGAAGCACCTTGTCTAAGCGCAGTTTCCAAAGAAAATCACCTAACATGCGTAGCGCTTGTCTTCCCAGCCTGCCTACCTTTCTGTAGCCAGGGACCGGACTTAAAAATATATTATTTTGTTCTTCTAAAGTCACACTGGAATGGAGTGGATAGACTTGTAACCTAAGAAAAAATTACTAAAGTAAATATCACACAATACATGTGCTATAAAAACAAGTAACTACTCATTAAGAATTATGTAAAATAGGGGCTGGTGATTTAGCTCAGCGGCATAAGCACCTGCCTTGCAAGCAGGCAGTCGTGAGTTTGATCCCCGGTACCGATAAAAAGGAAAAAGACAAAAAAAAAAAAAAAGAATTATGTAAAGCAAATGAAGTAATGGTCTATAGCAGCAACAGGGCTGCACTGTTGTAAGCGCACCTTTTGTGAACCATGTTTGTGAGAAGTCCGTGCATATAGTTGATTTCACCTAGACCTACAGAGAAAAAAGGAGGGGTGTAAAGATTTGTATTTATTGCCAAAAACCAACTTTTAAGATAAAATGACATCTTTTTTCAAGAACTCTCCATCAATTCATTTTGACTTTTTTTTTCCTTTTTGCCTAAGTATATCACAATTATAAGTAAAAATGCACAATGACTTTAACTAGTAGCTTAAAAATACAGAAAAAGCTGCTGGGTCTGGTGGCAAATACCTGTAATCCCAGCACTCAAGAGGCTAAGCAGGAGAATCACTATGAGTTTAAGGCCATCCTGGCCTACATAAGCAAGTTCAAGGCCAGCCTGAACCACACAGTAAGACCCTGTCTCAAATCTGCCCCCCAAAAATAGTATAAAAAATACAGAAAAAGTCATATTCCTCCAGTGTGTTCCTTTCTGCAGCAGTGATTATATATAGATGTTTGATGTATGAGTAGTTTTAATTTCTTTTCTTTCCTCAGATTTTCCAAAATTTTTGTCTTTTTCTTTTTATTTTATCAGTACCGGGGATCAAACTCACAACCACCTGCTTGCAAGGCAGGTGCTTATGCGGCTGAGCTAAATCCCCAGCCCTGATTTTCCAAATTTTTTACAATGAGCGTACAAACTCTTCTTGATAAAATAACCAATATTTTGGGACTGGAAGTGTAATTCAGTATTAAAGAGTTTATTTGTCTAGTATACATGAGGCACTGGGAATGAAAAAATATATATACACACACATGTATGACTTTGCCATATACACAGAATTCATCAAAAAATGTATACATCAGGAAAAGAAAAACTTGTATAAATATTTTAATACTAAATTTACTGAGACATCATGAGATTAATACAAGATCCAGTTGGCCTTTACAATTACAAGAGGTACTCAAAGTGATGACCATTAGCTTCCAGATATTTATTAGTATGGTGAACTGCTGAAGTGTGTACACATTTTCTAAGGTCTCCGTCTCTGTCCGTCTCTGTCTGTCTGTCTCTCTCTTGCTGAGGATATAGCTCAGTGTGAAAGTCCTGGGCTCAGTCCCCAGTATTGCCGGGAAAGGTGTTTATCTCTTACTTTAGGTATTTCTAAATGAGTAACAATATGGTTCTGCTTTGGTGATTTTTTTCTTTACAATAAGGAGGAACATAGTACATAGTAGTCATTTGATAATACTTATGGATACAACTGTAACTCTATCCCATTGTCAGCTAATGGCTAATAATAATGAACCCATATTCTAAGGAAAAAGTGACTGACATCTGAAACTCACATGCTGCATTCCAAAATTAAATGTTCCTCTCAATGAGTGCTTTTTGCTCTCCATCACAAGTACAAATGCCAATCTATTCTATACATGAACTACTAGTAGAAAAGATCTGAATTGTTGTCATGTTTCATCAAACTATACTATTTAATTTAAAAATCATTTTGAAGAAGTACATTTGAGCACAAATCTTTTCAAAAAGGGAAAACAGACTATTTTTTCAAACAATTCTAAGAAAGAACTCAAAAACTAACCTATTCCCATTATATTACAACATGTTTTACTGTTACAAGTAAGATTTAATGCAGACTAATAACAATTACCTCACATTTATAACCAAATAAATGAATGCAAGTTTAACAAAGCATCAGTAACTGCCTTAATGAAAATTTAGAAGGTGGTAAGACTGCCTTTAAAAACCTAAACTCTCGCCATGGATTTAGCTCAGTGGCATAAGCACCAGCCTTGCAAGCGTGCAGTCGTGAGTTCAATCCCTGGTACCAAAAAAAAAAAAAAACCAGTAAACAGTTAAACTCTCAACTGGAGACTTCTATAGGTAAATAGATGCAACTTGAGAACATACTCATCAGTGAAGTAAGACACACGTGTAAACTTCGCATTATTTCATTAGTGTGACAAGCTGAAAGGAACAACATGAATATGGACATGTACATGGATATAAAAAAATAGTTAAGGTAGTTATACTACTGATTTCTCTAAGTCCACTGAAGAGAAAGATTTGTACTGGTATTGTTCAGACAATTGAATGCAGATGTCTTGTGCCCTGGGTAAATGATTTGGAGCTGACAACACACAATGTATGTACCACTGTTGCCCCGATTGCCATGTTTTGAAATGTTGTAGTTTTTCTTTCTTTTTTTTTTCGTTTTTATCTTTGAAATAAAAAAGGTTTGTTAAAAAAATAAAGAAATAAAGGCATCCTAAGGAGTAAAAATTAAGGACAAAAATAAACAAACAAACAAACAAAAAATTAAACTCTCAACTGGGCATGGTGGTACACACCTATAACCCCAGCACTCCGGAGGCTGAAGCAGAAGTATTGCCATGTTCAAGGCCACTTTGGGCTATGTAGTGAGCTCAAGGCCATCATGAACTACAAAGCGAGATCCTGTCTCATAAAGAAAAAAAGTTAAAGACACAATAAGAAATCTTTTTAACAATGTAAAGGTTAAAGCAGGAAATCAAACTGAAAGCCACATTTGTTTACATTCTCGGTGTCTGAAAGGAAAAAACAGACATGAAGAACACTGCTTCCTTACTGGTACCAGGAAGTGCTATAAATCTAGACTGTAAGACTATATACAACATTCATACCTGGCAAAAACACCAACACACTGCTCCTCTCTGACACAGATAGGGGCCTTGATGTCTTGTTCCTGTCAAAATGAAGGTGCACAAAAGTGAAAAAAAGACACATCTGCTCCTTTACGAGAACCCTGACCCTGCTGCTGTGACCCTGCTGAAAGTCCCTGCACATTATGCCATGTGATGACCTTTTCTGCACGGAAGTGAGCCCAAGGGACCGTGCCCAGCCCCAGCAGCACTAAGAGGCCTTGACTCCACCTGCTTACCTGGGGGGATGCCCTGGTTGCAAACATTTTCCTGGACTTCAGTTACTATAACCCAAGAGCCAGACCGAACACATTTAAAATAATGAGAACAGTTATCAGAGGCCAAATTATCATTAGAAACCTTTTTTGCAGAAAGCATTCATTCATTGCCCTACTACTGCCAGTACATTTGTTTTTGTGTGAAATTAGAACTCTCCTTCCTCCACGAGCTACCTACCAGGAGACAGACAATGACCAAGTGGACATTAAAGCAGGAACAAACAGAAGCACACAGTAAAAAGAGCTGGAGAAGGGGTCCATACTAAGTGCCTGTTCAGAAGGAATGGTCAGGGAGGCCTTGCAGAGGACTTAATAAGAACTACGGAGGCAGCCACAGCAAAGCCAAGGAAGAGCAACCCAGCCTGGCCTGGGAACAGTAAGTGCAGAGGAGAAAGCTTCCGCGAGGTGTACTACTGATGGCAACGCATTTGGCTCAGTGTGCCATGTGCCTGCCTTGCTTCTCAGCCCCCTCTCCTGGAGCTACCGTCTGGTTCAGCCGCCGTGATTAAAAGCGTAGGTCTGGTTTGTACAGCGCCACCCAGAGAAGGCCCACCCCCAGGAAGCTGGACACCAAGCGGCACATCCAGTACACTACTTCAGGTAGGAGACGTGACCGCGAGGTGTGACCGTCCCAGCCAACAGGTGGAAGCCAGCAGGTGGGCCAGGTGGGCAGGAACTTGGAAGTGACAAGGCCGGAATTCTGATGGCAAGGAGTCTGAGAGTGAACGCATCAAGGATACACCTACTCTGATCACTGCAAGGAGACCTTAACAGGCAGATGGTCGGTCCAGAGCCGTGTGCTCTTTAGCAGCCTCCTCCAGTTCCCCGGGGGCTGCACAAAGCGCGGCGGCAGGGCAGCAATGTGCGGGCCTCCCGACTCAACAACATGCGCCTTCCCTGACCAAAGCTGACCAGCGCTGGCCACTGCTGCTGATGACACACCCTGCAGGGGGCCAACTCGCAGTCCTAAACACAGCGTCATTCCCCCAGAGCCCAGCCCTGATGATAAACCAATTCCATCACAAAGGGGACAGAATGGACTCCCTCCATTCTGGACTCTAGCGTGCTTCCCTGCACCCCAGCTTCCTGTTGTACTTTCTGTGACCTGCAGGTGCATTTTTTACTTCCACAGGTGGCCACACAGCAAGGCCATCAAAGGAGACCAGTTAGGGGGTCGATGGGCTTAGGAGACTGCCCAGGGGTTACCGGTCTTACCAAAAGCACTATCTTTACTAAGAAAGTGGAAAAGGAAGGAAGTCAAATACAAGGAAAAAATTTTGAAAGCAACAAGATAAAAATGATACACCACATACAAATGAAACCCCAAAAAGAGTAAGCCACCTTCACAGGGGAACAATGGACTCCAGAAAGCACAAGCATGGCACAGTCAAAGTGCTCGAGACAGACTGGGGAGGAACATGCCTGCACTCAGCAGAGTGATGCTTTACCAGCAAAGGAAAACAGACTTCCCCAGGCAAACAAAAACCGTCAGTCTGGCTGTTACTCTGCCTCTATGATCATTAATTTGATAAACACTTTTTTTGATAAGAACTTATAAATGAATCTGGTGCTGGCAAAAAAACCAATATTTTTAAAGAAGAATGTAATGGAGAAAGGAAAAAAGAATTGAGCTGTATTACATATGCACCAGCTCCCCACAATGAATGTAATCACTGAGTACATAAACATGCACTAATAAAAAAGTTAAAAAGAAACAAGCTTTGGGAAGTACACTGAAAAAGAAATTAAAAATATGTAATAAGTCTCCCAAAAAATAAATAGAAAAAAGTAGAGAAAAAATATGCTGTGATCCATGATGCTCAATGTATTTAAAAGTGTACCTTGCTTTAGTATCACTGTTGTATACGTTCTATATATTTTTAGCCTATTAACTGGCTGTGTTTATTATAATTAACTTGACAAAAGCCTATAAAATACATAAATCTGATGTTAGTGAAAAAGAAAAAATTCTTTAAAAACAGATAGAAGAGAAGGGAAAAGAGAGAATGGAGCTGCGCTACACCCATGTACCAGCTCCCACAAGGAATGTAATCATTACACATTACCAACATGGACCACTAAGAAACTTTTTAAGGAAGAAAAAAATAAGACAGAGTAGTAAGAAGTAATTCATAGTTTGGTTTGGTTTTTGGTTTTCTGTTTTGTTCTGCTTTTTGTTTTTTGTTTTGAGATAGGGTTTCCCTATGTAGCCCAGGCTGGCCTCAAACTTGTGGCAATCCTCCTGCCTCATCCTCCAGAATGCTGGGATTACAGATATGCACCATCATACTTTGTTTTATTTTCTTGAGACAAGATTTCACTATGTAGTTTCAGCTTTGAACTCATTATGTAGCACAAGCAGGTCTCAAATTCATGGTGATCCTCCTGCCTCAGCTTCCTGAGTACTAGGAATGTATTCCAACTCACCTAACAATAAGAGGAAAATACTTTATAGAATAAATACAAAGCAAAGTAAAATTAAAACACCATTAATATAACAGTGGACTCAGACAAGATCATCAGTGAGTGTTAAAAAATACCAGAAGAAGAATAGCTGGGCGTGGTAGCTCATGCCTATAATTCTAACACTCGGGAGGCTAAGGCAGAAGAATTGTTGCAAGTTCAAGACCAGCCTGGGCTACAAAGTGAGCCCAAAGCCAGCCTGAACTGCATAGTGACCCTGTCCACACACACACACACACACACAGAGGCAACATCACAGACACCACTACTTTTAAGACTCAGAAAGCTTTCTGGAACTCAAGCAAGATAAATAAAAGGTATCCACACTACTCTCTGCAGTGAGACTGCAGAACATCCAAGACAAAGAATCTAACTGCAAGTCAGCCAGACTAAAAAGACAGATTTACCCAGAATGGGCAATAAAACCAAAGGGTTACTTTTCACTGCAATAATAGAAGCCAGAGGGTTATGGGGAAATATCATCAAGACATAGAAAGAGCAATAAAAATAGGTGTACTCTGCTGTCTCATAGTAAGTCACAGCTCAATTCTGTTATTAAGTAAAATTAGACAAAGGAACTATAAGGAGAGGAGTACATAGCAACTTAGAACTGTATACAGGTTGGGGATCTCTACCCTGAAAACCTGAAATGCCCCAAAATCCAAAATTCTGCTACCAGTATTGAAAACTTTGGATTCTGGAGCATTTCAGATTTGGAGCTTTCACATTAGGGATGCTCAGCCAGAAAATCTATGCAAATATTTCAAAATCTAAGGAACTCCAAAATCTGAAATACTTATTCCAAGCATTTCAGATAGGATGTTTAACTCATATCTAATAAAACTAAATTTTAAAAATCAGGGAAATGAATATGTTAAATAGCAAGATTAAGTGAATTCACAATGTCAAAACATACTTCAAAGCATTGTGCTGTGTATGTAAATACTTGTTATTATTTCAGTCACTTTAAAAATATTTTAAGACTGAGCAAGACAAAGAAAATTCTAGCTATATAAACAGTGAAAACACTTTCCAACAGACTCTTCAAACAATAAAAGGGATCCAAGAAAGGAAGCCTAAGTTTCACACCTAGGGACTAATTTGGGGGCGTATGGCTGGCCTATAAGGCGGCAGCCACCGCAGCAAGCTAGTCCTGTTGCCAGAAAGAGGTGGAATCTACATGTTCATTGTCTGTTGTCTCGAAATGTAAGTACTACTAAGAAGCTGCAGTAAAGTTAGCACATAAAGTTTCAATAATAGATTTGTAATGGTTTTAAAATTATATAGATTCCAGCTACCACTTACAACCTAAAACTATCCTTCTAAAGAAAAAATATGTCCCAGGTTTCAAAGAACCAGCTCAAGAAATCAATGCCTCAACTACTATAAAAGAGGCCTGTTGAGCATCAGGAACATATCATGCTACTACAAATAAAAACAAAGGCAGCCAGGTGTGGTGGCTCTTGCCTGTAATCCCAGCACTGAGGAGGCTGAGGCAAGAGGATCGTTGACAGTTTGAGACCAGCCTAGGCTACAAAGTGAGCTCAAAGCCAGCTTGAACTGCATAGCGAGACCCTGTCTCAAAAAGGCAAAAAAAAAAAAAAAAAATTCGTTACTACAAATAAAAACAAAAACAGGCTTCTGAGAGTTTTTACTAATGTGACAGCTACTTCCATGGTACAGGTCTAACTTTTAACCCTAAAACTGCACTCAGCATGATAGACTTTAAGTAGGAATTTCCAGTAAAACACTTGCAAAATACTAGTTTGGCTTTCAAATACATATACTAAAAAGGTATCTGCAGTTACAGTTTCACACTGTGGAAAACACTGACAAGCTTCAAGTGAGTGACAAGGACCTCAAGTCATGTACACACTGAAGCACAGACAGAGTGCCTCTTACCCACTCTCCTTCACCTCCAAGTCATCAAACATCTGGATGAGGGAGACAGCAACTTCATAGATGCCCTTCGTTATCGCTGGCTCCTCCAGGAGACAGGGAGAGAGCTGAAAGCAGAAAAAAAAAGGTGGAACACCAAACCAGGGTCACAGAAGAAATGCAATGCTGGATGGGTGACTCTCCCCTTTGGTATAATGCTCTAACAAATATTCCAAGCAAAACACCACTTGCAGCCAATGCTTGACCAGTAGCTATGTGGAACATGGCTCAGGCACCTAAAAAATACAGTGCTGTCCTCAGCAGCCACCTTTCCCTGTCCCTGCAGCAGGGTGAGAGCAGAGCCCAAACAGAGATGCCATGTTTGGCAAGACACCTCAAGGCATAGGGTCAGCTGCACCCAAGGTCGGGAGAGGAGGAGGTTTGGCTGGACAGTCCGTGCCTGTCTGCTCGGTGCCAGCCTTGCAGTCTAAACATCCCTACATGTGGGGAGGGCCAGGAAAGATAGGACCACATCTCCGTCATCATGCTGTCAGAAACAGCCACGTGGTGAGGACATGGTCTTCCCAGGCTTAGATCACTGGACGACTTTTAATTGTGAATTCAAACAAAGCCAAAGCAGGCCCAGGTGGCTTAAAATCTACCTCAATGCCTCTGCAGAATACTGGGCATCGAGCACAGATGGCCATGGCCTCGGCAGGCAGAAGCAACCACCAGCATCCACAGCTTTCCAAGAGCCTGGCAGCAGCTGAGTGCATGTCTACAATGTCCTCGGGTGGGCAGAAACCATCATCTGCACAGGCAGCAGTCATGAGTGCATCTCTGCAATGCCCTCCAAGCAGCCACCCCAAAATCCCACAAAATCCAGCCACAACCTTTCTGAATTTTTCCAAGAGTAAAAAGGGCTGTTTGGCTAGGCGTGGTGGGACACACCTGTAATCCCAGCACTCTGGAGGCTGAGGTAGGAGGATCCTTGAGAGCTCAAAACCAGCCTGGGCTATAACGTGAGTTCAAGGTCAGCCTGAACTATATAGTGAGAACCCGTCTCAAAAGAAGAAAAAAAAAAAAAAGAGCTGATTGTTGAACAAGTTACCGCTGGCCTGGAACCACATGTGGTTCAAACAGATCTAATCACACGTACCAGTCTTCTTACTAATAACATCAATGAAAAACATCTAACAACCCTTTTCTCATTAATACTATAACTCTGGTGATACAAGCATGCCAGGTTCACTTTGTTTATTAATCACTTTTTAAAAAATGGCTGATACATTCCTGATATACAAACCCCATCTTAAATAGTTCCACTTTACCAAATGACCACAATTTACCATACCACAACTGCATAAAAAGAAGGAAAAGGTGCATGTCCCACAAGCCCCAACCCACAGACAAGCTGTGCAAAACGTATATCACAAGAACTCCACTGAGTTCTAGAGCTCAAGACTAGAGAGGACCCTTAAAACACCCCAACAGGGGGGCGCATGCAGGAGGTAAGACAGCAGGCCTTTCAGGAAGTGGGAAAAGAAATGATGCCAGGTACAACCAGTGTCCAGGTGAAGTGGATGAGTTCCTAAAGATAAGAAGGAGCCCCTGTCAGGCAAGCATCAGGGCTGAGCCTCAGGGTGGAGGGGTGTGGACCCAAACAACACACAAACAGGGGCCTGTAGGACGCTCTACTTCTGGACCTGGCTGTGCCTCAGTTTCACTCACCTGCATGCTGACTTTCTATGTACCTTTCTGCAACACCAACTCTGCACAATAAACTAATTATTTACTGCAAGTGTGTATGGATGAAAATAAAAGATGAGAGAACATGGAAAGAAAAAAGCCAGAACCAGCCCCAAAACATGCAGGAGAGCATCAGTGACCAGCAGTATCAGACATCAGAGAGGCCAAGGAAGCCGAGGGCAGAGGCCCGCTGAGAACCACGGGTGACGAGAAGCAGATATCACGATCCACAAGAAGTCTGGCAAAGCATGCAGAGACTCTTCAGGATCCAAGAAGTGTGCTTTTGAAGATGAAAGAGACTCAGTTATATTTAAATGTGGACAACAAAGGATAAGCAAAGGAGATGATATTAAGGTAGAAGAGGGTGCACATGGATGGGTCAAGATCCCTTGGAAGAAGGGATGAGAGATAAAGGTGAGCAGAAAGGCTGTGTTCCACACCACAAGATGCCTCTCCCTTGCAGCTCGCACAGAGTGGGAAGCAGCGTGATGGCAGGAGGAAAAACATTCAACTGGGACCTGGACAAGGGTGCTCTGACTTCGAAAACCACGTACAGAATCTCTACAGAACGCCATTTGATAAGCTTAAGAATAATACATAGGGACTGGAAGTGCAGCTCCGTGTAGAGTACATGCTGAGTGAGGAGAAGGCTCTAGGTCTGCATATATACATGGTGCTCAGTCTTTCATATTCATCCACTCAAATAGTTACTCTGTGCCTCTCAGGGACCACAGACAGGATGTTTCACAGGTAATGCTAAATCCGGGTGCTCTCTAGCCTGCTAAACATACTCATCATAAGCCACAGAGTCCCTGCCTGCCTAGAAGCCAGTCTGTCCTAACCACAGGGGCTCAGACAGCAAAAGCCCAGGTCTGACCCACTCCTCGGCATGTCCACAAGGAATCGTCTGAATACTTGTGAGCTCTGACATACAAAACTAAACAAGAATTAATTAAACTTTAGCCTGTTGAAGGAAGACTAGTAAACCATCATCTCACACATGATCGGGAAAACCAAATGTCATAAATCAGTACTCCCTCCTGCCCAACCTAACAGTCACTAAACTTGGTGACTGTTTCTAAAGAACAGTGTGGAAAGAAAAGCAAAAGTAACATTACCCTGGAAAAACCTGGCAAACACAACCTTAGCCAGCACCTCAAGGTTAAAACTGCCCTCAATAAACCATGGTAACAGTGACAAAAATGGTACTTTATCCTGTGGTCTCCAGTCTAACCAAGAGAAAAACAAACACAAGTCAGATTCCAATAGAGGCGCACCCTGTGTAACACCTGATCAGGAGACAGTCAAGGTCATCAAAAAGGGAACAAAGCCTGAGAAGCTGGTACAGCCTAGAGGTGACTGATTGACTGATTGATTTGGTACTGTTACAGGCAGCTGAGTTAAACAGAAATATTGCAATCAGTCAAGACAGAGCTAGGCCCTCAAAGGAGCCAGTGCAAAAGACCACGTATCTTGCAACACTTGCAGGAGACAGACACTTCCTGCTGTGGACCAGATCACAAGACAAAAGACAAATCAAATGCACTCGCATATCCCTAAGGATAAGCATTAGGAATTAGTTCTGTATCACCCTAAGGAAGCCAGGAGTCACCATCCCAACTCCCTACAGGAAGTCACTTCTCTTTATGCATGCCTGCTTGCTACATGACTCAATTCCCCATTTGTCCCCAATTTAATCAATTTTACCTAAGCAATTAATCTCTGTTCCACCTTATGCCCACCTTGTGAGTTCCAGTGCTTTCCCCACCTTAGACCTGCTTCATTTTGTGGCTTTTGCTCTATGAAATTCCCTAAAAAAGACAGTCTTTGGCAACTTACTTGGAACCCTCTTCTGTCGCACTCTCTCAGACAGAAGTTTTCTTTCAATAAATATATTGTGCTCTCAACCTCTGTTGTTCCTAAAATTCATTCTTCAGTTTTAGAGAACATGAACTTGTATTGGACATCTAGTAGGTTGGGAGTTTCTTTCTCCTACATCTGTACTGGAAATCAAACTCAGGACCTTGCACTTGCCAGGCAGGTTCTTTGCCACTAAACTATAGCCCCAGCCCTGAGGAGAGGTTTTTGTTTTGTTTTGTTGTCTTTTTCCTTTTTATCGGTACTGGGGATCGAACTCACGACTGCCTGCTTGCAAGGCAGGCGCTTGTGCCGCTGAGCTAAATACCCAGCCCCAGAGGAGAGTTTTTTAAAGTGTTACAAGTAAAAGATTATAATAGGTAAATGAGTGTTTACATAAAATTCTTTCCGTTTTTCTATTCTTTTGATGGAATAATTTAAAAATTAGAAGAAAAGAAGTACAACATTTAATAACTATCACTGGTCTGCCTCTGACCTGATTTGCTTTGAAAATCTGTATTTGTAAGTCAGGTAAAACCTCCACTGTAGAAGAAGGCACCTGTGGTGGTGGATGCCAGGAATGCAACCCAAAACCTTGCACATGTCAGATAAGGTTCTCCACTAAGCTGTACCCTTTGGGCCCCACTGCCAGCTGCTGTCCCATCTTGTCTCTGTCAGGGTTGGGGCTGGAGCTGGGGTTGGGGCTGGGTTGCTTTTGTTTGCAGTAGTGGAACTGAACCCAGGGCCTTCACAGTGAGCTTCTTCCTCAGACCTTTTTAATTCATACTCTGAGACAGAGCCTAAGTCACTGAATTGTCCGAGCTGGACTCAAACCTCCAATCCTTCTGCTCAGCCTCTCAGAGTGCAACATCCACCAACATTATAAATACATGCATTCTTTGACCCAGCAATTCTCCTTCCAGGAATGCATGTTCTAGAAGACACAGCGTAGGGGGCTCACAGGGTTCTCACAGGGGTTGGGGAGATTATTCCCCAGGGAACACTTAGCAACCTCTAGAAACACTTTTAGTTATCATAATGGAGAAGAGTGTAAGACGTTAACTGCATCCAGTGGGTAGAGCCAGGAGTAAATGCCCTACAATGTGCAGCATGAGCTGCCACACAGAACACCAAGAATCCCAAGGCCCAGAAACTCTGACATACAAGACAGATGTTGATGCACATGCAATTATATGTGGGTAAAGTTATTCACTTTTAAAGACCAGAAATATCTGAGATTAAGAATGATATATTGGAAACAGAAAACAAAACAAAAAAGAATGGTATATTTGTCAGGTATGGTGACAAACGCCTGTAATTCAAGCACTCAGGGCAGAGGCAGGAGGATCACCATGAGTTCAAGGCGAGCCTGAACTACAAAGAGAGACCTGTCTCAAAACAAAAAAACACCAAAAAAATCATATATTCACATGAAGAAATGTTACGTATCTTTAAAAAGAAAATGAGGAAAACTACATACCAATATGAAGAGATACGGAAAATTAAATCAAAAAGCAAGGTAAACACAAAATGCTACCACATCAGAAAAAGAGAGAAACAGCATACTCATACTCTCTGCCCAGGGATAAAAATGTGTGCAAGGAATCATAAGAAGCTCAAAAAGCTGGGATTGGAAGTCCCATTTGTTCCAGCTATTCCACTTCTAGGCATATTCCCAGAAGAACTGAAAGCATCATGCCACAGTGATATATATGCACCCATGATTATAGCAGCACAATTTGTAATAGCCAGCTCTTGGGCACAACCTAAGTGTCCATCCACTGAGGAATGGATAAAAAAGATGTGGTATTTTTATACAATGGAATACTACTCAGCTATAACAAAGGATCACATTGAGTTATTTATAAATAAATGGGCACAGCTTGAGACCATACTCATAAGTGAAATAAATCAAACTCACATGTATAAATACCAAAGTTTTCCTAGTGTAAGAAATGATATGAATATATAACAGTATGTGGTAATCATGATTCCCCATTATATTGCTTTGAAGCCTTATAATGTTTTCATTCATTAATTGGAATGGTTTTATTCTGAGTTGTTTGATTTTATTGTCTGTGATGGTACGAACAGCTATTTTAAAGAAAACAAGATATCATAATAGCTAGTGCTGATTTAATATCATCTTGTTTTGCAGTCCCATCAAGCTTTTGTTCTTCTGTCTCCATCGGTCTTATCATGTTGTATCTTATTGGATTTTATTATATGTGATAATACAAACAAAAATTTTTATAGACAAGGAGGTAATATAGAAACCATTGTTCGTTTTCTGTTAGTTGGTTATAAATACTCTGTTATACTTTCATTCTCTTGAATGGTTTTAAACTGTCTTGATATGTTTGATGTTATAGTATAAGAAGTTATACTCAAATATTTGAAAGAAAGAAACACTATGGTAACTACTGTTATGTCAGGTTATCTTGTGGTGAAACACTATGTTGCTTAAATTGTTCTGTTCTGACCTGTGCTGTTGTGTGGTTATGTCCTCTTTTATCTCAATCTCCTTTTTATTTATTTATTTATTTATTTATTTATTTTCAATTAAGGGAAAAATAAATTTAAAAAATAGCAGGATATATTATAGTAACCATTTTGATTTCCTATTAACTTGATTTAAAGCCTTGTATTGCTCTCACCATCTTGTTTTGACTGATTTTACTCTATTCTGTTTTGCTTGATAGTATCAAGTTTGAGAGTATAGGCAACTACTTTGATGACAATAAGATTCACTATGATGCCCATTCTGGTTTGACTATTATCTTCTTTTGAAGTCCTGTAATTCCTCCAATGTTTCGGTTTTATTGGTTTTGTTCTTTACTGTTTTGTTCAATTTTATTATAACTGATGATATAGGCAATTCTTTTTAAGATAGCAAGAGGCATTATAGTAACCATTGTGGATCACCTTGTATTCTGTTTTTACATCATGTACTATGTCCATCCTTTTGATATGACTGACTCTGTTTTGTTTTGTCACATTTGGTTTTATTCTCTTCAAAAAAAAAGTAATAAGAACTGTGGGAGTAATAAAATCCAAAATGTGTAATTGTTATTGTAAAAAAGAGAGAAAAAGAAAGTGCTCTAAAAGATATAACTGCATGTATATTTAAGTAAGATAGACGACCATATTACTAAGTTTTTGTTGGATCATTGAACAGAACTGTTTGCAGTCTCACTGTTTGAATGTTCACTTTGAATGCTTTAATTTCGTAACTTGAACAACTATTTCTAAGATGACAATATGTAATCTATTAACTAATGATTTGTTTATTTTTTTGAAATTCTGTATTACGTGTACCCTTTTTCTGTTTTGTTTTTTTTTCTCTTTAAATAAAAATTTTTTTAAAAAAAGAAACTTAGGGGCTGGGGATTTAGCTCAGCAGCATAAGCACCTGCCTTGCAAACAGGCAGTCGTGAGTTCAATCCTTGGTACCGATAAAAACGAAAAAGACCAAAAAACAATTTTAAAAAAAAAGAAACTTAACATAAACAAACAAAAAAAAAGAACCTGCAACAGTTTGCTCTTGCTGGGCAGACAAAGGACAGAGGAGGTAGGACAAAGTGGCTCTCTGCTGCACTCTTCTCTTCTCTTACAGTGCCGAGTCAAACCTGGACCTTGCACCTGCTAAACAAGTCCTCTAGTACTAGGCTGGGCTCCAGCAAGGGCAAGAAGAAGAACTATCACACCCGCTTTGACCTTTTGACTTCTGAGACCTCTAAATGTGATACCCATAGAGCAATTGGAAAGCCACTGCAACTCTTCATATGTTCTGCCAATTCTTCACTGTCACAGTACAAATGTATGTATTGTGTTCATAGCTTATGACAACATACCCAGGAGTTCTTCTTTATTCCTCTCCATACCCTTTCCCTCCCATCTCTCCATTCTGACTTTAAGCCATAGATGGTAGTACACAGGTTTAGTCTGATGAAATACAAAATCCCACTCAATGTAACAAACAATGCATTCCAACATACCCCATTATGATAAATGTGCTCCAAGTCATTAAGATAGTACTCTTCAATCGAATGGGGCATGCCTTCCACTTCAAAAACATATGCAGGATTCATCTTGTTCTGAACAGGGACAGCAAAATAGTCTGCAAATTCTTTACAGTTGATGGTGGCTGACATCAAGACTACCTATCGAGAAGAGAGGCCAAACATACAGACGATGTCATGCACAATCACTGAAATGAAAGCACTTACAATCCCAGGCATATCTTCTGCATCATTCCTATGTATTTAGTAACTTTTCTAATTTCTAAATGAACTATCTGAATTAAGTTCATATGTTATACAATCTATTATAGTTTAGAGAATGATCAGAGATACCAACTTTTACAATTCTTCTTAAATTATTTTAGCAAATGAGAAAACCCATCCCTTGAAAACCTGTTATAACCATTTATCTAAAACAAATTTTTACACCAGTAAATGAATTTAAACAAATAAGCACTAGATAATGTGTTCTAGAAAAATGAGTAAACCAACAAAGACAAAAACAAGAGATCCAGAAAACCTTGACTGTACCCTAAGAAACCAGAGACGTCCCAAGCCAAGAGCTATGCAGCAGCCCTGGGGAGCCAGCCCAGAGCTCAGCAAGACCAGGCAGGCCCAGTAGTACTGACTGAAGTTTTTAGTTCTGCCAAAAAGAAAAACAACAATATAAAATCAACATACAAAAGCAGATAGTTTTTCTATACAATAATAACTAACCTGCCAAAAAAAATAAGCCACGGAAACAATTCCATTCACATTAGCTTCAAAAAATAAATTTCAAAAATACCTAGGAGTCAACCTAACCAAGAAAGCAAAAGACCTCTATAACAGAAATTAGAGACCACTGAAGAAAGAAACTAAGACTCCACAAAATGCACAGATTTCCCATGTGCTTGGGATAGGTAGAACTAATGTTATTAAAATGCTATCAAAAGTAATCTACAGAATCAGTGTGATTCCTATTAAAAATGTCAAGAGTATTCTCGCAGAACTTTAAAAGAAATCCTGAAGTTTACATTGAAACACAAAAGAGCCAGAATTGCCAAAGCAATCCTGAGTGGGAAAAAAATGCTGTAGGCATCACCATTTCTGATCTCAAATTATACTACAAAATCATAGTAACAAAAACAACATGGTATTGGCACAAAAGCTGACATACAATAAAATAAAACCAGACATGTAATAAAACAGAACAGAAGCACAGAAACAAACCCATGCACCTATAAGCCACTAGGTTTTTCACAAAAGACTCAAAAATATACACTGAAGACTGCCTCTTTAACAAACTGTACTAGGGATACTGGATATCCACGCACAGAAGACTCAAACGAGAGACCAATCTCTCACCCTGTACTAAAACCAAATCAAAATAAAGCAAAGACCTAAACATAAAACCAGAAATTTGGAGGAAAAATTGCTAGAGGGAAACAGTTGAAGCCATAAGCACAGCAAAGACTTCCTGAGTAAGACCCCAATAAAACAGGAAATAATACCAAAAAATCAACAGACTACTTCAAATTAAAAATCTTCTGCACAGCAAAGGAAACAATCAAGAGTAAAGAGATAACCTATAGAATTGGAGAAAAGTATTTCCAACCTACCCTTTTATTAATCTAGAGGATTAATGCCTGAAACATATAAAGAACACCAAAAAAATCTAATCAATAAGTGGACAAAAGAAGTGAACAGAGAATTCTCAAAATGATAAATATAAATGTCCAATAAAGAAGAACAAAATCATATCATTTGCAGGAAAATGGACAGAATTAGAGACCATCGCATGGAAAAAATAAACCAGGGTCAGAAAGTTAAATACTGCACATTTTCTCTTATATGAGCCATATATAAAGAAAGAAGCAGGCAGGGGAAATAGAAAACTAGGCAGACTTTTAGAGATGGGGATCAGGGCAGGAGGAGAATAACACGAATGAAAATAATCAAAATATGTTGCATGCATCTACCAATATACCTAAATCTCATTATTCTGTATTACTAAATAAAATCACACCCAGAAGAAAAAATAAAGCAAATATCAGATGGTGTCCCTAAGAAAGTCAGCCACAAATGCCAGGCACAGTCTCCACAGCACAGGAAACATGCTCACCAAAGTGCGGCATTACCAGGCACCTGTAGCCCCCAGGCTCACACACAGGGCACACTTACACAGCTCTCTCTGGCTGGCAGTCAACTACCTATTGCCTCCATGGTTAGAAACTTGTGCATGTAAATCCCTAGCCATCACCTAAAGGACAACAGGTCAACCACCATGGGGCTTTTGCTGAGCATGGCACACAAAGGCCAATGCCCGACTGATTTCTGTACTACTGGGCCTCCCCATGCAGCCTGGGCTCTCCTGCAGACAGAGGAGACTGTCCAAGATGTCCTAATACAGGGTTAGCCTAGGTTAAAGGAAGGCAAGTAGGGGCAAAGAGGGGCCTGGGCAGAGGAGCCCAGGGCAGACCTGAGGAGGCAGACGCATGAAAGCACCTGAGGCCCCTGGGTCTCTGTTTTTGCATCTAAATCCTCTAGTGGCAGCATTCTTGTAAAAACATTACAAAGCCATTTAGAACTTGCTTTTAATTACTTATCCCAAATACATGCACCATATAATAGCCCATATTTTGAACACGTGGCTTCATATTTATTTTTAATAAACCACAAACATTGGAACTGACAAACTACTTGATACTGCTTGTTGGCTAGGTGCTGCTAGGTGCTGCACTCTGCACCACAGTTTTCAAAGTGTGGAAGACTTCTTTTTTAAATCTATCCATACTCTATCACTGACAACTGAAAAATACATAATCAAGTCATTATCTCCACTTGCGTAAAAAAGAAATCTTAAAATGACAATCAGGAAAGAAATCCATTGCTGAACAATCTTCAGTACCATCTCAAAGTCAAGATCCCTAACCAGGAATGAAGAGCCCTTGTGTCACACATTTCACAGCCACCCAAAAAAGCAAAGCAACCACTGCCACACTCAGGCTGCACTCACGCAGCACCAAGTAAAAACGGTCACCTTTGGGGCAGAAGAGGAGTGATTTCTCTCTGGACAAACGAGCAGATTACACCCCAGGAGACCAAACAGCTCATGATTCAGAAAGCTACGGCCTTCCAGTAATAACAAGTGCTTAACAATTCCATGCTAATATAAACGCACATTCCCAAATACTGCTACCAAAACTGGTTACCAAAGAACTCTACCTAGCATGGCTGGATTGAGAGTGATTATGTTCAGACTTTTTTTGTTTGTTTGTTTTTTTGATACCAGGGATCAAACTCACGACCTCCTGCTTGCCAGGCAGGCACTTATGCCACTGAGCTAAATCCCCAGTCCTGTTCAGACCTTTTAGATAGCATAATTATTCTAAATCCTTCACTATTTTGGCCTCCCATCTTCCTCTTCTTTGTGCAAGTGAAAAAGAATAACCATTCCTCCATGACTTTCAGTTAACTCAGGACCTACATCCCTACCATAGCTGTGCACATACTGTCCTCAAACTTCAACACCCTTTCATACTTTGATGCTATCTGCAAAATTGTGATTTCAGAATAATTTGCTTCCCTTTATACTGTGGTATTTATTCAAGCAAAAGCAGGGCTCTAAGACCGAGCATTTCCTTATAGTCAACTATTCTTAGGTCATTTTCTACAGTCTAGAAAAAGTGGCAGAACAGAACACGATATAATAACCAAGAAGGATTCCACAGTGCATCCATAAAAGAACAGCTTCCTGTCTGCTCCACAGCAAGACCCAGAACACTACACACGGGGGCCAATTTTAAGAGACTGGGCCCAGTTGTTTCTGTTAAAATAGGGAGAAACAAAACTAGACGATAAATTTCAAGTATTTCTGTTACTCAGAAAATCTTATTTACCTTCACAAAACGTGAATTTGTTCTTAAAAGTTTGCGGACTACCAACAACAAGAAATCCATTTCTTCAGTTCGCTCATGCACCTACAAAATAAAAGAGGGTCACTTCACGTGGCATCAAGCAACACACATTCTGAGTGAATGGAGGGAAAGGAGGCTCAGCATACTCCTGGGGGCAGGAGGCCAAACCAGTTCTTGTGCAATGTAGCTCTTCATAGAAACAGCCACGCTCCTGGTTAAGAGGAAGCAAAGGGCATGTGCCCACAAACCACAGGGTACATGTGGTTCATAGTCACTTCCGTGTCTCTTTAGGGCCTTGGCACTGGAGCAGAATCATGCTGAGTATCCCTACTTGTTCTCCATAATGTTAACAGATTCTCCAGGTCTCTGTGGTAAACAACATATGCCTAGACTTCCCAAGCAGAGAAGACCACTGGGTCAAGTTCCTGGACCCTCTGCTAACCTCTCTGCAGCCAAAGGGCTGCACATACCTGCATGGCAACAAAATGTATCAGAAAATAAAGAAAATTCTTACATATACTGACTATTTACATGTGTGGCCCAGCACGGTTCCTCTTCACTCAGTGCTGCCCAGGCAGGCCTGTTGCCTGTGGTTGGAGGCCCGTGGCTTCCCTACATACCTGCTGACCCCTTTGCCAGGGTCCAAACACTTTTTTTCTGGTTCTGGGGATTGAACTCACAACCTCACACTTGCCAGGCAGGTGCTTATGCCACTGAGCTAAATCCTCAGCCCTCTGCCATGGTCTAAAAGCTCAATGTTATTTCAGCAAATACAGGGATGTTATGGCTGGTGTCTAGAAGTTTCCCAAAGTCTCATGAGCTCCTGGGTGGTGTTTTCTGGAGTGGCTGGATCTAGAGTTATTGTCGGGATTAAGGATGTGACACTGGACTAATCATAGTGAGATACCAGGATTAACGGTGCTCGCCTGGGTGTGAGTGCTATCCACAGGGCAGTCCGGATAGAATCGAGGGACAGAAAGAGGCTGCTGTTGTCCCTGCCTGTTGCTTGCTGCTTTTGCTGCCTTTCACCTGCCAGGAACAGTTTCTCTGCCATGCTGCCTTTCTGCCATGCCACCCTGCCTTGGAACAAGCTGATTATGGACTGAAACTTCTACAAACTGTGAAGTGAAACAAACCTTTCCTCTTTTAACTTGGGGTGTTGGCTATTTTGTCTCAGTAATGAGAAAAGTAACCAAAACAAGGATAAAGAAGTAACAAGCTAACACTGGCTGGGGAGTCCTGCATAATGTCCTACCACAGGCAGAGCTACAGCTCACAGAGAGAAAAACAAAAGGCAGAACAATGGCTACCTCTAGCTTTGGGGCCTCCAGGGCTCTATGCAACCCCAGAGGCACAGAAACTAGGGAGTGACACTGCTCCAGGAAAACCTCACTTACACAGGTGGGTGCCAGATCTGAGCCGAGGCCAAAGCCTTCCTGTACCAGCTCTAAACAAAGAGCCTTTTCTAAATCATTCTTCAACATATTGCCCATATTTGAGACAAAGAACAAAGAAAAAAAGCAAAATTTACATTCCTCTGCAGACAGGGCAGACACAGACCCAAGTCCTAACCAACCTGTCAAAAGAGGTCACACTGAGGGAAGCTGCTATCGTGGTAAAAGCAAGGACCAGTGCAGGACACTCACTTCGTCAATGAAGATATGCGTGAATTCCATCAGACTCTTGGCACTGACTATTTTCTGAAGCAGGACTCCAGTGGTCATGTAAATTAATCTGGTGTCTTCTGTTGCTATCTTCTCCAGCCCTACCTAACACCAGGGAAGGAAAAGAAAAAGGGACAAGAGTTCAGCTTTAAATGGCTCCCACTAATGACTCAAAGAGGCTATGGCCATTTCATAACGGGAGGTAAGAATAAAGATTACTCTATCTCAGAAGATACACAGAGTCCAAATTAAAAGTCAAGTTCTCCAGATGACATTTCCATGGGGAGCGGGTTATCTAAGTCACACTTCTGCTTATGGTGCTTTCATGTAACACCACTGTGTATGAAGACACCTTCTCAACTACAAACACATGGAATTACAAAAGCCTTAAGCCTGAGAGTTCACACTTGTGTTCTATCAACCAGGAAAGAAATTATGTTCGATAAATTTGGTTTCATTATTTCTGTAGATTATGTCACTGTTCTGTAATGGTTTCATTTTTATTTTCAACAGAAAAGTCAAGCCCTCCTGTCAACTTATCCAGAGTAAGGAACTGGCAAGAAAGCGAATCTGCTTCCCCTGTCTGTCTCACCTGGTAGCCCACCAGGCCACCCAGGGCCCATGAGCGCTCCTTACTGATCCACCTGGCAATGCTGCTGGCCCCTATCTTCCGAGGCTGAGTAACCACAATGTTGCAGTAGGCGGAGCGCTGGATGTAATGATCCAAGATATACTGTGGGAGTTGAGTACTCTTGCCACTTCCGGTGGTACCATGGATAATGACCACAGAGTTGCTTTCTATCAAAGAAATAACCTGGAATTAAAAAAATAATTTTCTTTCAATATTGGCACAAAACCAGCAATTAAAAAGTATCATCTATCTTAGAAAGGCCTTCAGGGTTTATATTTCTTCATGTTAAATGACTAAATAACGACCTGAACATCACAACAAAGAGCAAGGAGACTACCAAACAGTTGCTACTTTAGAATTAGTTCTACTACAGTAATTACTAACAGCTGCAGAAGCCAGGTCAAATTAACTGCAACTCTCTAGTCTTAATTTCCTCCATAAAAATGAAAATACTAAATTAGATATCTGTGTCTCTAAATCTAAATTTCTATTATTTTGAATTTTTCTAACAAACCTGCATTGTAATTCTACTGAAAAACATGAAAACAGTTAGTAGTTTCATAATTCTAGTAGTTTCATAATTTCATTTTAAACTGGGTGTGGTGGTGCATGTGTCATGCTAGCACTTGGGAGGCTGAGGCAGGAGGACTGTCGTGAGTTCAATGCCAGCCAAGGCTACTCAGTAAATTCAAGTCCAGCCTGAACTATGTAACAAGGCTCTGTCTCAAAAATGTTTTTCATTTTAAATTATTCAGGTAAACTTTTAAAAAGTTAACTTCCACTTTTCCATTTACAGGTTATACAAAGTATTCTAAAACTCTAATTCCATTCCTCCCACACAACTTCCCCACTGATACTCTAAACTTAGTTAAAGTTCTCTTCTCCTTCTAGAAATAGATATGATTGGGAACACAAACTAATTCTAACATTGCCCTCTAAAAGTTAATAAAGTGTACCTATCTCATAAACATTATATGATTTAATCTTAAGTAAAATAAAATTTGGAAATTTCCTGTTTTATCTGTAACTACTTTTCCCACTAGAATAAGGCAATAAAGATTGAAACCATTTTCTTTAACCGTCTTCAATAGCATGAATTAATTAAAACCCAGCCATCTTATTGCTAGACCTGAGCTGGCATTGCTAACAAAATGATGTGTCAATGACTGACCAATCAACAAGCAGGAAAAAGGAATGCCAGCACAAGGAAAACCGAAGGGAAGGCTGGCTAGACAGCTCAGCAGCAGAGCACCTGCCAGCCATACCCAACGCCCTACAAAAGGAAAAGACACCAATGGAGATGCTGGGGTGCGCTGTTTCTTTTCAACAAGACCATCCAGTGAGCCTCTCAACAGGAAGCTCTCCTGGGTGGGGCGCACATGCAGACAGAAAAAGCCAGGTGACAAGCACAATGCCAGGGGACACACTCAGGTGAAGGCTAGACACGGTAAGCGCAAGCCCAAAGGAAAATCAGCAGCACGGGCATTACATAGCCCCACACACCATGCTGGTGCACAGCCGCAATCCCAGCGGTCAGTAGGCTAAAACAAGAGGACTACAAGGTCAGTGCCAGCCTGGGCTACATAGAGAAACTCTGTCTCGGCAAATAAAAATAAAAAAATACAAACCACCTCCTTACGGCCCCTGGCTAACCACCTCTACTGCCTCAGAGCCCTCCACATCACAGGTGTGCTCACCTAGCAATTTCCGCATTGTTAAAAAACAAGGTTGGGCCTCAGGCATTTATTCACCCTGTAAAATGACTTTTACAAGAATAACTTTACCTCTTCCTTACATCGATTTATAGGCAAATCAGGATATTTGTAAGTTGTCTCTGGGATACATGTCACATTGCTTAATTTAGTTGAAGATGGTCTTGGACCTAGATTCAGACAAAACAAATAAATATGATGATGATATATCTTATCTGGAAAAAGATAAAGTAAGCAGCCTGATGTTATATCTAATGTGTACATATGGTATGTACAGGCCACAGAGATGTACACCCAGACATTTTCACAGGCTAACTGGGCCAGTCGTCTCTTAGAAACTTCCATAAGGGGGCTGGGGATTTAGCTCAGCAGCATAAGCACCTGCCTTGCAAGCAGGCTGTCATGAGTTCGATCCCTAGTACTGGTAACAATTCAAAAAAAAAAAAAAGAAACTTCCCTAAGTAGCCCAACACTCATGATCCAGACCATCAAACTGACTATTCAGATTCTTCCTCACAGCCACCAATGCCAGAGGTTCACAGCACCGCCTGCAGCGACCACCTGTGAAACGCAAGACCCACTACTTGATTAAACAATGCCAAAAAGGAGCATGTTCTCTGCTAATGAAATAAATTAGCAATAGCAAAAAACAAATCTAATTCAACTTACAAGCTACAGGTGCAGTGAAGAGGAAGCAAAGGCTGCTGGGTGTGAAGGCTTTCCAGCTCTCCCTGTGCAGGGTCCTCTTGTGGACACACACACTGTCTCAGCTACACTCCTCAGACAGATGCAGCAGCAATGTTCGTTGGATAGGAGGCTTTGATGGGAGACAAGCCTCACTTCCAGAATAAACTCTGAAGGCTTCCTGCCACTCTGCTAAATCACTACTCTCTGCTCTGTTCCTCTCGCCTTTCCTCCCTCTCCCCGCCCTTCTTTGCTTCTGCCCCAGCAGCTCCTCCTGCCACTGTCCTGCCTTATAAACACAGCCATCAAGCTTTCTTTTGGAACTGTCCTAATAATATACAATTAAAATGTAGCTACTATCCTGTATACCATAAGTAAATATATATTCAGGACAGGCTTGTGCACATGCATACACATGTGCTGGGGTCAAACCCAGGGCCTTGTGAGTGCTAGGAAGCACTCTGCCACTGCACCGCTCCCCCAGCTCCTCTTTTCCTGTGCTGGAATCAAGGTGCGTGGGCCTTGTTCTGTTTCACAACCAGAGCAGCCAGATCTCAAAGCAAACCCTGCTCCTTTGCGGGAAGCAGTGCTCCTAAGGGTCCACACAACAGTTTCCAAGTCCTCCAGGCCTCTCAGCTCCCTCTCCACCCCCTGCAGAGCTCACTGAAAGAGGGTTTGCTTTGCCCCATCACACATCACTGTCATCCGCCACTCCTGCCAGCTCTGAACACCAGCAGCAAAGTCCCCTTCCTTCCCAGCGGGCATGCCTAGCCTTGACAACAGTCAGGTGATGGAGGAGAAACCACAGGCCTCTGTGAGAAAAGCCACTCAAGAAAAGCCACTCACAGCAGGGGCAAAGGGAGAAAAGCAAGTGGCTGGGGATGAGTAGGAGCAGGACTGCAGGAAGAGCTATCCACGGGAAAGTGTGATGTCTGCTCTTTTGTATTCTGCTTTGTTTTGTTCCCAGTACTGAAGAGTGAAAGCACAGCCTTTGCACTGAGCTATATCCCCAACCTTTTTTATTTAATATCTGAAACAGAGATTAGTTGAATTGCCCAAGCTGAGCTTAAATTCCCAGCGTGCTGAAATTGCCGCCATTGCTGCCACATCCAGTAACTATTATGGCTCTTTTAGACAAAAAAACAAGTAGCTAAATCTTCCTGCTAAGAGACTTTAAGCCCTGGTTCACAGTACTGCTAAGCGAATCCTGTTACTCTGACAAGAGTAATGTGTCTTACATAACTTGATTACATGTATTTTGAAGGTTTGCTACTTAAAGACAGAAACTGTACAAGGAAAACTGCCCAAAGCCCTCGCAGCGCTGTCTAGTCCACAGCCCTTCTCCCTGGGCCACAGATCGCCACCTGACACTTCCAGGTCACTGGCTGCATGCAGCCCCAGGGCGGCTGGGACCAGAGAGCAGAGACATCACAACTGTGTAGCTTTGTTGGCTTCACATTAGCAACAAACAAAAAGAAAAGCACCAGGATGGTCTAAGGCAAATCAACAACCCACACAGGACAAAAGGAGGTCAAAATAGCATGAGAAATACCACAACCTCTAAATTTGCTGTTCTCATTTTCTCACTATGTCTCTATTCTAGGTTGTTGGCATCAGTATTTTACATGAACTGGAAAAAATACAAACTATAAAAATTGCTAGTTCTCTTCATGAAACATCATCATCAACCAAACTTAAAACCTAACCAAGGCTAGACATGATGGCACACACCTGTAATCCCAGCACTGAGGAGGCTGAGACAAGAAGATCCCTTCAAGTTCAAGGCCAGCCTGAAATGCATAGCAAAACCCTGTCTCAAAAAGGACACACTCACACACACACACACACACACACACACACACACACACACAGCCCTATCCGAAAAGTTCCACAGTCAGAAATTCTAACTGGTATATAATGGATTTTAACTGAGGAGCAAGCAGTATGTCTGTCAGCATATATGAAGAACAGTATTTCTTATCTTAAAATAGAGACAACATAGGGCCAGGGATTTAGCTCGGCAGCATAATAGCTGCCTGGAAAGCACAGCGTCCCAAGTTCAATTCCCAGTATCAAAAACAAGAAATCTAGACTGTGCACATGACAGAAAAAAGTCTAACTACAGCACTTCTGATTTAACCATAATATTAAATCTTGAAATGCATAATTATAGACTACTTTCCCCAAGGATGGGATGATGGTCTGCACCCAGAAAGAAGCCTGCCTTGAAGAGGAGGACTATTTCCCTTCTCAGACCCTCCAAAGAGGCTGTGTTTTAAAGGCTCAGAAGAAAAGCCCAGAAAGGGATGAAAACATTCACTAGATTTAAAAAGGGGTAGCATTATGCACTTCATCAACAATCAAAGACTCTACCCCAGAAAAAACACAAGCAAAAGAAGCAAAGGCTACAATCTGAAACCAGAGTCTTACTATTAGGAAAGACTCCATTTATTCACGCCACTCACGGTGTAACTAAAGTCCAATCCGATAACGAAAGCAACTTGCTCCCCATGCTCCAGAATGGGCCATGGACTCAGGGGTGCAAAGGACCTTTCTTTTTTTTTTTTTTTTTGTACCGGGATCAAACTCAGGACCTTGCACTTGCCAGGCAGGTGTTGCACCACTGAGCTGTATCCCCAGCCCAGGACCTTTTTTACTTTACACACCTCTTTTTTTTTTTTCCTATTTTGTTTTAATTATTACTATAAAAAACTCAACTTCTATAAGCTTTCAAATAAAATATATAAAGCTACTGCACACTTACTCCAAAAAAGATCCTGTATTAAAAAGTGGTATAGATTTCTTACCTTGACCAAAATACTTATTTCTTACACATTTTAAGCACATAATGTTTTAATGTATGAACCACTCACACATCATACTTAAGGCTTTTGTTGCTGTTGCTGTTTTTTGTTTTGTTTTGTTTTTTAATTTTATTTAAGGAGAAAAAAGAAAAAAACAAAAAGGGTACAAGTTATACAGAATTTCAGAAAAAATAAACAGTAGGAAATCACTAATTACATATTGTCATCTTAGAAATAGTTGTTCAGGTTACAAAATTAAAGCATATAGAGGGGACTTTGAAACAGTGAGACTGCAAACAGTTCTGTTCAATGATCCAACAAAATTCAGTAATATGGTTATCTATCTTATACACTTAAATGTACATGCAGTTATATCCTTTAGAGCACTTTCTTTTCCTTTCTTTTGTACAATGACAATTACACATTTTGGGTTTTATTACTCCCACAGTTCTTATTACTTTTTTTTTTGAAGAAAGTAAAACCAAATGTGACATAACAGGACAGAGTCAGTCAAATCAAAAGGATGGACATAATACATAATGTAAAAACAAAATACAAGGTGATCAACAATGGTTACCACAATGCCTCTTGCTATCTTAAAAAGAATTGCCTATATCATCAGTTATAATAAAATTGGACAAAACAGTAAAGAACAAGAACAATAAAACCAAAACATTGGAGACATTAGAGGACTTCAAAAGAAGATAATAATCAACCAGAATGGGCGTCATAATGAATCTTATTGTCTTCATAGTTGTTGCCTATACTTTCGAACTTGGTACTATCAAGCAAAGCAGAATAGAGTAAAATCAGTCAAAACAAGATGGTGAGAGCAATACAGGGTTTCAAATCAAGTTAATAGGAAATAAATGTGGGTTGCTATAATATATCCTGCTATTTTTTATTTATTTTTCCCTTAATTAAAAGGATAAAAATGAAAAAGTAGATAATAAAAAGGAGATTGAGATAAAAAAAAAAGAGGGCATAACAACAAAACAGCACAGGTCAGAACAGAACAATTTAAGCAACACAGTGTTTCACCACAAGATAATCTTGACATAAAAGTAGTTAGCATAGTGTCTCTTTCCTTAAAATCTTTGGGTATAACTTTGTATACTGTAGCATCAAACATATCAAGACAATGTAAAACCATTCAAGAGAATGACAGTATTACAGGGTATTTAGAATCAACTAACAGAAAATGAACAATGGTTTCTGTATAATCTCCTTGTCTATAAAAGTTTTTGTTTATATTATCACATATAATAAAATCCAATAAGATACAACAGGTTAAAACCGATGGAGACAGAAGAACAAAAGCTTGATGGGACTTCAAAACAAGAGGATACTAAATCAGCACTACCTATTATGATGTCTTGTTTTCTCCAAAATGGCTGTTCCTACCATCCAACCTTGCTGTTGCTGTTTTGAGACAAGGTCTGACTCTGTAGTTCAGGCTGGCCTTGAACTCAGCAATCTTCCTGGCTCAGCCTCCATAGTGCTGGGGTTACAGGCAAGCACCACTGCGGCCAATTATGAGGCATTTAAAAAGAGTTGCTTACCTTGCCCACCTGTTGGTTGATCACGGCCATACCTGTCAAATTCTTGTGCTTCAAGTTGTCTGTATTTGTCAATATAGTCTACCTCTGAACTCCTCTCGCTGAGGGACCTAAAAGAGGAATAAAGGTTAGAGTGCCACATAACCTTGACTGTCTACGTGACTGGATTAAAAGACCTCTGGAGAGGGACGGGATTGTCAAGCACCAACCTACTGATAGCTGAGCATCCTATGAGGAGGTGGGGCCTGCTTGAGGAAGGCATAATGGGGAAGTGATCTTGGGAACTATACCTGGTCCCTGGCTCTTCTCCAGCTCCCTGCCTCCTCGATTCCATGTGGGTGAGCAGCTTTTCTCTGCCGAAGCCTTCCACTTAACACCAGCCAACCCTGGACTGAATCTCTGAAGCCACAAGCTAAGTATCTTCTTCTTTTACTTGCCCATGTCCATGTACTTTGAACCAGTGACAGAAAGCTGACTATTCAGTAAGCATGCCATTTCCAAAAGACCAAACTCCTGTCTTCAAAGGAGTTCCCGCATCATTATTTTATGTTTAGCCATAGGGGAAAATCCAAGTAGTTAATAAGCAAATGAGAAGATGCTAAAATTCAATTACCAGATAAATACAAAGTAAAACAATGAGCACCCATTTTTCACCCACTGAGTTGACAAAAACATCAAATATTCTCAGAATATTTACTGCCAGAGGGTGGTAATGGACATACAGCCATCTAAAGGGAAATCTGCAGTATCTACTAAAACCTAAACGGTATACCACTTAATATCTAAGTTTCTCTTCAAATCATACTTAGTCCAGCCACCACAAGGCACGTGCACAGATATGGATGGAAGTATTTGCTCACTCAGCAAATATTACTGAGTACCAGCTACACCAATGGCATCATTTGAGACACCAAAGAATACCACAGTGAACAAAACTAATACCATGCCCTAAAGAAATTGCCATTCTAATGAATGACACCTAACTTGTATGCAAGGTACTAATTAGTGATGTAGAAAAAAATGTTTAAAAGGGTATAAAGAATTCGAGGGAGGAGCTGGGCACGATGGCTTATACCTATAATCCCCACAGTCTAAGAGACTGAGGCAGGAGGATCACAAGTTTGAGCCTAGCATGGGAAACTCAGTAACTTTCTGAGACCCAATCTCAAAATAAAAAGGCATAGGAATGTAACTCAGAATAAAGGCTCTGGGTTCAATTTCTGGTACCATGCCCCCTCCCCACAAAAAATAAAAAAAGAATTCCAAGGAGAAAGGGAGAAAGAGGACATTTTCATAATATTGATTACAGATTGATGTAACATGCTACATGCTACTAATTATATGGTTTCTATCAATGACAAATTTAAGTACATTATTGTCAGGGAACAGGTTCAGTGATACTGATTCTTAAAATTTGAGAACAAGATGGTTAATTTTGTATGTTAACTTGACTGGGGTAATAGATGCCCTATTGAGAAGGTGTTTCCAAAAGAGTTTAGCATTTGAAACAACAGACTAAAGAAGATCCACCTTCACCAATCTGGCTGAGAAGACACTATACACCTGAGGGCTGTGGTTATTAAACTTAACTGTGTCTTGGGTGACCTAGAGACTAGCAGAGCACATTCCTGGGTGGGTGGTGGAGGCATGTCTGTGGGTCCTTATGTTCACGGCACCCTTCCTTCGGAGCTGTGCCTCTGCTCTACTTCCTGTTCACCACGAACTTTGCCCTGCCACACTCTCCTACCATGATGGTCCTACCTTGGCACCAGCTGACCATGTACTGAATCCCTTGACACCATGCCAAATCCACCCTCCCCTACGTTAAGCTATGTATGCTGGTTATTCTATCTCAGGGACGGGAAAGGTGAACAACACGAGGACCCACCCAAACAGAGTGAATTTCTCTCAGTTCTTTGGCCAGGACACCCATCTTCTGCCCTCAGACACTGGGGCACCTGTTTCTCTGGCTTTCAGGCTCTAGGACCTACAGTAGCAACTCTCTACCCCGAGTTCTCAGGCCTTCAAACTACAGCTTAATTATACTCCTGGCTGTCCTGGCTCCTTGGCTTGTATCTGCCTCATTGTGACACTTCTTGGTCTCCATAATCTTGGGAGCCAATTTTAATAATCATAATCTTAAGGTTCTGTTTCCCTGGAGAACTCTGATTAATAACCTTAATAAAATGCTGTTGCATTAGAGTTTGTTTTTGCCTGACATAAGTAATTGCGTCAACACTTTTTCAATTACTCTGTTGACTGATAATCGCTAATTCACTCAGCAAATAACTGTGGTCTGACTCCAGTCTGACTCCTCCTGGCACTGGGGATGGAGCAGTCACCAGCACCGACTTCCCTCACGGAGTTCACACACAGCTGTGGAGAAAGAATGAAATCAAACATAAACTATGTAAGATCAGAGCAAAGGGGGACAGGCTAGAAGGAATCAGAGGCCACCTCCCAGTCCACCACCCCCAAGGCCACAGCAGCTACAGTGAGGACAAAAGCGGCAGAGCGAGCCGCAAAACAGTGCCCTGGGACACTGCAGCGCACGCTGACCTGTTAGAGCACAGAGGGAGCCACAAAGGGAAATCAAGAGTGAGTCTGAGGCGGCCACTGTAGGTAGGAGGATGCAGGTACCCGGGGCCCTGGGGAGGTGCGTGGGCAGCTACCAAGGGATCTGGAGAGGGAATAGCAGCAGACACACCAGGGAAGAGGCCTGGCGGCCACACATCCCACCAGACCAGGGGAGTCTGCCACTTATTTCTTGTGGTGTCTCCTGGCCTGCACCCGCCCCTGAGCAAGGTCATCAGCCAGGCAGAGCACCAAGAGCATTCTATGGCTCTTCCTCAAGGGCTGCAAAGGGGCTGCTGAGAACCTGAAATCAAGATGACCACCAGTTTTCCTGTTTCTCTTTATTCTCTTACCCCCAACCCGTAAGTAATACTGCAGCAGTGGCAAAAGCTACAGCAGTGCCACCGGGCCTGAGCCCCTCTCCAGCGAGAAGAGCTATGACCTGCAGGTGGGAAGCCCTTTCCACCTTTCCCAGGCCTCTCGCCGCTTGGCCCAGGACACAGCTGCCGTGGGACGCCTGGGATGCTGTCAGCTGTGGCAAGGGAAGAGCCTAGGAAACAGCGCTGAGGCTGTTTGCCACATGCTGGGCTCACCTCTGGGCTGCTCAGCAGGGCCTGATCCTCAAGCACTGGCAGACTCAGCACTGAGCTGCAGGCAGAATGGCCACCAGGGGGCACACAGGCAGAACACAGGCAGAACACAGGCAGGCTACAGCAAGGGTCGTAAGAACCAGCCTGAGGCTGGAACTGTGGCCCTGAACACATCCAGGCCGGCTGCAATCTCACAGGATTTAGACAGGAACCAGAGTTCCATCACAAAACATTCTAAACGGGATACACATCAATCACTTGGCAAATGAAGAATCAAAAAAATTATACCATTTAGGTAAGATATGGCCTAGAATACAACTACCAAATGAAAATGACTTCACAGTTTAATAGTTTAAGCTTTATATATGTTGCACACAAAATATTCTAATAAGGTTGTGATTCGTTAGAAATAATTTATTTATTGAACTTATTAAAATATTTGTGAAATAAAATCCAATGTTAACCTGGTTTTATCCTAATAAACAGGAAAAATTAATAAAATATATCTTATCTCAATTTACAAATACCACTTATGTTCTCTTTCTATATGGCAGTAAGGGAAATACTACAGAGAATGGTATTTGGTTGGTTTGGTTTGGTTTGGTTTGGTTTGGTACCAGGGATCAAACTCATAACCTCACGTTTGCCAAGCAGGGCCTGCGCTGCAGAGCTGAATCCCCAGCTCCAGAGAATGATGCTTGGTCTTTGCTTCAACCTATCAATTTCAGGATAAAGAGAAGCAAAGTGCGGAGCAATAGAAGTAATGCACACCAAGTCCTGGAAAAACTGTTTTAAGCAAGTAAGTTCACAGGAAGGCATGAGGAAGACAGACAAGTTCTGAGAAGGTCAGATGTGGGCAAGGGTCTCAATGGCAGGCAGGTGTCCACTAAGCCAAGTGCAGAGCATATGGCCTCCCAGAAGCTGTCTAGGTGACTGTCAATGACCTTCCCATCTCTGCCCAGAGGACAGTACGTAACTAGAAGGCCTTCTTGTCCTCCAGATCTAAATGGGGAGCCACTTGGAGTGTGTGAAGTAGCACATGGTGACCCACAATCACTTCCTCATGTCCTTCGAAGGCCCTTCGAGGCAGGACTACAGCTGTCAAGTTCACTGCCACACCCACACCCCGTAACCCTCCAGCCCATGGTATCAAGCCCAGAAACATCTGCTGACCCACTGAATGCCAGAAGTTACAGTTCAGCATAGAGCAGCAACGAATCAGAAAGCATGAGAAAAAAGGGGAAGCAGGAGAGTTCAGAGGAAGAACAGAGTCAACAAAAGAAGGTAGATGAGTTGAAATGTGAGTTGTAAGGGACCTGAGAAGGAGAATTACAATGTGGCTACAAGGAAAACAAAGAACAGCCCTTTGAGAAGAGCCGGTGTAACCACAGTTAAAGTGTGCAAAGTAATTTCTGCAAAATGGGGAGTTAAGTGGAGCCCTGGGGTAGTGCAAGAGGGAAAACTAGGCAAGAAGGGATGATAACTCAAACTGCAGAGGGCTTGGAAGGTAAAGCTGGGTTATGTTCCTTATTCAATGTACTCTGATATTTTCTGTTAAAAGTTCAGAGCAAAATAATTTTTTAAGCAGCAACAAAAGTAGGAAGAAGTAAGCATATTCTCTGTAGTTTTAGTATAAAAATTCATAGGACATTTCTATCATGATAAAATCCATGCTTTTCCTTCTAGAACTACATACAATCTAATGTAAAGACCCTGTAGTTGAGGCTAATGCATCCTGATGTCTGTCTTCCTCTAGCACATGCGTAACAGGAGTTATAGGATGACCACACACATCACTCTTGATTACATATGGCACACAGGTCTGATGTAAACAGTATCTGTTCTTCACAGCTCATTGGAAGGAAAAGCAACAGAAAAAAACAAATATTATAAAAGAAAAAACCACTGTCTAATTACTTAGAAGAGGGCCAGAAAGGAAAAGACTCTTTACTGAAATCAGGAAAAACAGATCAGACTTGAGCTGTTACAGTCCATCCAGTCTAAAAGAAAATCCTTAACAGAAAACTAGCACAATAAAGACCACTGCACACCAACTCACCTAAACACAGAGTCAGTTTCATCCACAGCTCCAAGACAAAATGCTAACATGTTGTCTATGATGAACTGATAAAGCATTACTGCCTTAATATCATGTATTTAAACAGATTACCAAGTACATTTTAAAGTGTTTATAATGTCCTCTAGCATTTCAACATTCTTCTATAAATTTACTATTTTGCATCAAAAATGAACACAGGATGTTGTATTTGCTAAATATTTACACATGACAGATATCAGCATGATTTGCCTGTTTTACTCAATTACAGCAGGCTTCCTCAGAGTCTGCATTTTGCACACAGTCAAGTCTGATCTATTTTTCTGGCTTTCATTAGAGGGGACAGTGACCTGGCTTCTAAATGGCCTGGAAGTTAAGCTGAAGAATAAAAGCAACATGGTTATTTTTAGATCTCTACAGGCATAAAAATACAGCACTAAACTGTGACCTACAGCTATGCACAGCCACGTATCACATCATGCGACAGTGCCGCTTTCGCGAGGAGCGCATCTGTGGTGCTTCTGACGGGGTTCCTCATTTCATTACCAGACACACGTCCAATGTGCTTGGGACCAGCACCCATCGCTGGGGACACCTTTTTCAAAAGAATGAGTGCATTCTGAAGGTAGACCATTATGAAATATGTGAAGATTCAATAGTAAGTTATTTTTGTCATTTCTTCTAGCTTACTTACAAGGTGAATTAATGAGCATTCTCTCCAAGTGAAGACATCACAACCTCGTTCCTAAATAGAAAGTTGTTTATTTCAACTACAGTTTCAGTGGGTAAATTGGGAGGCTCCTTCCTTCGAGAGAGAACACAGCCAGGAGAAAGAGAGATGCCTGAGTGAACCACAGCTTCATTACCAATCCGAGTCAACTCTGGCAACGGCCCTGCATCCGATTCACCAGCTTGGCAGGTAAGTGCTAAGCCCTTCTGTACAAAGCATAAATCAAAAGTAGCAGCAAATGTACTTTCCAATGCACTAATATTTTAAATTTTCCTAATAATTTTAATAGAAAATGTTACTTTCAGAAAATGTTCAGTCTGTAGATTATCCCTGACTTTATATATTTAATTTCTGTTTAGCAATACAGAAGTATTTTCAAAGCTTGGTTTTTGGCACTGACCTAGTTAAAAATGAAAAGACTTTAATCCATGCTCTAATCTTATACTGACCTGCATATCTAGCCAATGAAAAATTCACATACTTTTCTGGCACTTTCATTGTAAGTCAACAAATATTTGCTCATCAGAACCATAGAATTATGTGCAAATAGACAAGTAAGACTATCTCTACAGGCTAAAAATGCCACTTTTTGGTTGGATGAAATGGCCAAAAAATGATTCCTACAAACCCACACACTACACCGGCTCAGATGTTGTGACAAAGACTCTACTTCGGGAATTGAAATGGCATCTAAAGGAGCGAGAGAGATTAATACAAGAAATTGAAAATGAAGAAAAAGTAAGAAAAACAGGTGTGGATTACAGCTGGCTGAGAAACTACCAGAATCCTCACACAACTATCCCAGCCATGGAACAAAGACAACTCGAAGTTCTTTGCTCACAAGTTCAACCTTGCCAAACTGGAACTATTCTCAGCAGGTAAAAATACTGTCTTTTTCTTATGTTATGAGCTACTGCCAAGTCTAACTGCTTCACATATTTAGGCTGAAAATTGCAATCTATTATGTAAATTCTTTAATCATATGTACTAAATCACAAAATCACTAGAGATAAACTGGGCCAAAATATTTATATGTATCTCATTGATGAGATTTTTTAAACTTACAACCAAAATTTAACTAGAGACATACTGAGCCATTATTCAAAAGGTGAGTAAGTAGTACACAATTATGTTATATAAGCTGTATTTTGGAGATGAAGGGATATGCCAAAAAAGTTTGCTGAAGTGAATAATCATTCCCACTTTCCCCCTAGATTTCGAGAAGTTTTGGCAGAAAATGACGTACTGCCATGGGAAATAATCTACATCTTCAAGCAAGTGCTGAAAGACTTCCTCAGCAGCCTGGACAGAGGCAGTCCTGGAGAGAGTCTGCAGGAGTCCGGGGAGACAGGCTGTCCCTCTGCCTCTGCACTGCCAGGTGACCATGCCCAGAGGACAGACAAAGACGAAATACCCACTATCTCTAGTTATGTAGACAGAAACACAAACAACAGGTTCCCACCATGTTCACACAGAATATGGAACCTACCATATTATTATCCATCAAGTTAGAAAGGCACCAATCACCAGCAATTTTTACAACCAACTTAGAATCAGAGCCCTTACTGAGTACAACTTCAAGTTTGTTGTTTCAAGGCCAGAAGTTAAAATTCCTATGGTTGTACCCTATTTTAAATAACAGTCTTGTCTTAACCATTCTAAATATGCAACGTTCCACTTAATGATACACTTTTAAATAAAAATTTTCCTAAATATTTTGAAAAAATGTCTGAAGTATTTTGTTATACCTCAAACACATCTCACTAAGGCAATTTAGTATCAAGTCTGATATATTCTGAGTGAGACTTAGCTAATCTTGACTCTGATTCTGAAAAACTACATACAGAATAAATGCTTGATGTAAATTGTACCTTTACACCACTGAAAGAAGTGTCACACGTCACTCCCAGTGGAGACAGAGACAGGGCAGTGAGGAGGAAATAGCACTCAATTTAAACAGAGCAGTTTTTTATCTAGACACCCAGATTAATTTTTAATCACAATAACTTTTACCTCAACATTAAAGGAAAATATTTTAAAAGCACAGCTCTATACTATTTCAGTTTTTAAAAAAGGTTCTAATTAACCAGTAGTAGCTGCTACTATCAAAGAAAAACATCTGCCCAACACAGCCGTACATGCCTACAACTCCAGCACTCTGGAGGCTGAGGCAGTAGGACTGCTCAGTTTGAAACTAGCCTGGGCTACACAGCAAGATCCTATCTCAAAATACATACAAACAGTCTAAAAAAGAAAACATTCAATGTTGACATGTAATTTAAATCTATACTATGCTCATAATAAAATACTTATAAATACATCAAAAAATTAAAATATATATATGTAAATTCATTTTGTAACCTCGTTAAACTATATATTAGGTTTTTATTTTTAATAAAGAGCTGGAATCTGCTTGTCTGTTTAGACAGGGGCTTGCTATGTAGAGTTCAGGCTGGCTTTGAACTCACTTTGTAACCCAGCCTGGCCTCAAACTTGTAGGGATCCTCCTGCCTCAGCCTCCTGAATGCTAGGATACAGGTGTGTGCCACCATGCCTAGCTAAGAGTCTTTACTGTTCCTAATGCAGATAAGATCAAAAACTCTTTGACACCTTCAGGACATCTATACTTTCTATGTTTAGATTTGGTTTTCTTTCATCTAAAAAGAAAACATTCAAGATTAGAACTAAAAATGAACTTTTTAAAGCACACTTCTAACTCTTTTCTCCTTGTACTCCTGGCCAACTACTTCTGTTCCAGCGATGCCAAACCTCTCAGAGCCTTCGATGATACAAACATCCCACTGCAGCAGGCAGGTCATAGGTTCACCACCACTGCTCTATACCACTTTCAGCAGGTCTCAATTTGGTTTTCTGTTTATTTGTTTGTTTGATTTTTGGTGGGTTTTTTGTTTGTTTGTTTCATTTTTGTTTGGTTTGGTTTTGCTCTTGGGTTTTTTGAGACAGGGTCTCGCTATGCAATTCAGGCCTTGGGCTTACTTTGTAGCTCAGGCTGGTCTCAAACTTACAATTCTCCTGCCTCAGCCTCCCAAGTACTGGGATTACAGGAGTACACCCCCACTCCCGGCTCTGTTTGTTCTTAAATGCCAACTATGTCATAAATAGTGTCCATCTGGCCAAGTTTCAAAGGCAAGGAAAAAAGAAGCATAATCCTAAGGGCATCTAAAATAAAGACACCTCTCACTGCTGCTTCTTTTCTCTTGTTTTCATGAGTGACTACGTTGGGCTTCTTCAATCACAGCAAGATTGTTTAGAGTGGAAACCATCTGTGGGAGATAAATGTCTCAAAAGCACACAACTGCTTCTTGTGCAGAGAACACAGGAAGTAGCAAATGTGAGCTTTAAGAAAATACCATCCTTCATGGCAACAACAAAATTTTGTTTAAAAAGCCCCTTTGAGCTTGCCTCTGAAATCCAGTACTAAGGTAGGCAGCATCCAACTCAGGCAGGAATGATGCGCCCCAAAGGGGCCCACAGCACTGCAATCACCCTCCACCCCTTGGTCAGCACTTCCTGAGCAAGCAGCGCTCCACACTCAGACAAGATGCTCTAAACCCTCATCAATTGCACCAGCTGTTACAGCACGCTCCTCCTGTCTCAGCTCCTCAGGGTGCTGAGGCAGGAGGACCACCTGCACCCAGGAGCTTGAGGCCAGCGTGGAAGTACAGTGAGACATCAGCTCAAAAATAAATAGGCAGGAAGCTTGCAGTGGGGTCATCCCCCAGCCAGGACAGGAAGGCGCCTCGCAACCCGGGTCACCAGGGTGGAGTTCACTCCACCACCAGACTGCAAGGGGAAGGGAAGAACACACTGAGTTTTGAGTTTCTCTCTCTCAATTTGTTGTTGAAAGAACCTAAAAACCAATGTTAACTGCAAGAGTTTTAGTCTAAAAAGTTTTAACATTTCTATAAAATTCACAAGTCAAATAGAAAATTTAAAGCAACTTTCTGAATATTAAAGATCCAAGTTTTTGTGCACTGGACTGTTTATAATACCTAAAACTGGTGAAGCAATCCAGGTCAAAAATACGAAGAATGAACAGGGGGAGGACTACTGGGAATGCTCAGGACACTGTATCAGGGGCAAGTGGTGTGAACGTAGTAGCTAAATTTGTGCAAATATTAAGAATAAGTAAACCCATGTAAAAGCATCCTGCATATTACCTGACAGGGCAAGCTGTCAACCATTGGCATTACTAACCCGTGCAACCCAATTATGTTAAAATAATTTTTCTATTTACTGGGCACACATACATTCACATTTAATCCTAACCCTGGTACTCAGTGATGCTGTTCCCACTGGCAGAGAAAACAGCCTCTAACTTATAAAGTGTCTTGCCCAGTGCAAGGGAACTGGCAGTGTTGAGACTCTACCTACCTTCTGTGCTGACTGCAAATAACCAGTTGCCAGCTTTACTCTTCCCTCTTACGTTCACAGGTGACTTAAAATCAACAAGCTCAGACAGAAATTATAAAGGCTGGTATGGCACATTTATTTTATCTTAGGATTTAAGAGTAGCTGGATATGGTGGCACATACCTGTAATTCCAGCACTCAGAAGGCTGCCACAGGAGGCTGCCACAAGTTTGAAGCCAACTTCAGCTATATTGTGAGTTCAAGGCCTGCCTAAACTACACAAACCCTGTCTCAAGGAACAAACAAACCAAACAGAGATTTATTTCATTTCTGAAGGATTAAAATTCAAAAGAGGAACCAACCAGTACATACACCATCAAAACATCCAGCTGTGCATAATGGTACACGCCAATAATCCCAGTATTTGAGAGGCTGGGGCAGAAGCATCACAAGCTTAAGGCCATCCTGGGTTACACAGTGAGTTCAAGGCCAGACTGAACTGAATGGGGACCTTGTCTCAAAAAACAAAACAGAACAAAAGAATCCAGCCGCATACGTAAAGCATAACTCTTCTCATTCTTTACCAACTAGCATTTTCCATCTCGGTAAATGACAGCACTCCCTACCTACCCAAGTCTACAAGCAGAACATCACCATCACATTGGTGCCCTTCAGACCAAGAAAGCTGAAACAGCGACCACAGCCTTGCAAGAGGAGGGGAACTGGGTTTCCATTACTCCGAGCAGGAATTTAGGCTTAGAGGAGGAAAGGAGGCGAAATACTAGAGACCAGGAGAGAAGCTGGGAGGGAGTCTTCAGCTCTTAAGGACCGCAGGAAACTTCTCTAGGATGTGGACATTTGCACAGGGTGCAGTACTGAAAGGAGCCTTTCATGGAACCGCTCCACACGAAAGGAAAGGTTAAAAGCAGAAACTGCAAGGCAGCCATGAAGTTAGTAACTTCAAGACAGAGAAAAATGCAGAAGGCGGTAAAAAGCCATCGGCTGAGGGAGCACCGCATGGCAAGCCATCATTCTGAGTCTAACTTGAACCAGCAGCAGCCTGGGCCACAGAAAGGCACACGGGGATTCAAATAGCCTCAAGGGTGAGCATCTGCTCAAGTCTGTTCGCTCCATAAATACTACCTGAACAGTGCACCAGGCATGGTGGCACATCCCTGTATACCCAGCACTTGGGAGGCTGAGGCAGGAAGACTGTCGTAAGCTTAAGGCCATCCTGGGCTACAAAAGCAAATTCAAGGCCAGCCTGCACATGTAAGCAAGACCCTATTTCAAAAAACCAAAAATAAATAAATAAAATTAACTGAGCAGTCTCCTTATACCAGGCATTCTTCTAAGCGCTAGATTACTAGTGGACAAGGGTAGGAAGCCAGCAGGCCAACACGGAAAGTGCTTGTAATAGCCTAGGCAAGAAGAAGCTGAGAGCCACACTAATGCCAGAAACGTGGCACACTCACCAGGACATCCTGGCTTTTACTATGCTGTTTTATTGTGTCCCTTCACACACACACATGCACACATGCACACGCACACACACACCCCTTAGAAAAATCAACCACTGCCAGAGGAGCAAGACAGTGGAACCATCTTGTGTCTGGAACAAGGATCTGGCATATTAGTCTTCTGGGCCTGACTCGGGCAACTCATTCACTGGAACATCTGCACCCTGACCCCAGGCACAACACTAAGTGATGGTGATACAGTGACAATCCGTACCCTCAGGAAGATCTCCTGGAGGCAACAACGAACAAGTCCCATAAAATGCAAAGCACACAGGGTGCTAAGCAAGCTGCTGTCTACTTGCTTTGTTTGTTTTGTTTCTGTGCCACTGAGGATTGATCCTGAGACTTTTACACTAAGCCACATCCCCAGACATTTTATTTTTGATACTGAGACAGGGACATGCTAAGTTGGTAAACTACCCAGTTGGGCTTGAACTCAAGACCCGCCTGCCTTAGCCTCCCGAGTGCTAAGATTACAAGTACATTGTTATCACCATGCTTGGCTAGCTGTGTGTGGAGGAAGGCCCACTCCCTGGATCGCCTGACTGTTCCAACTGCCCCTTCCCAGCTCCTCTGCACATTCCATCTGACCAACCTCTAAACACCAAGTACCCTGCCTGGGCCTGGACCTCTGCTCTCTCTATGCCCATCTACTAAGATCTGGCACCTACAGTAGGAGTAGTTTCATCTCACTGGTTTCCAGACTTTCAAAGCTTGAAATCCCCACCCATCTAGTTGTAGACAGACTGCTTTCTTCAACTCCAGACAGATCTGTCCACCTGCGTGGGACTATAGTACCCACCACCACACTCAGCCTCCCAA